CAAAGCCGAGTTCTTGGAGCGTCTTTTGGTCAGTCGCTGTCGTGAAGTCGCGCCAAGTCATTAGCTCAACAAAAACGTGCCGCACGGATTATGTCGACTTTCAGAGCTGACAAGCGGACGCAAATGGACGCGGCGATTATGTACGAGAAATCCTAAGCGCTGATTTGAAATCAGCGCTTTAGTGAAGGAGAATATCATGAATCGCAAAGTTCGTGTTGAGGGTCACATGTGTTTGAAGGAACGTCAACCAGAACGCCCAAAGCAAGCCAGAAACAGATTCTTGAGAATTAGACATGCATGGGAGTGTTGGCAGGGAAGGGACGGGGGTGGCAGAGAAAAAATCTCTCATTTGACCCGCGTTGACTTTCCTGATATCACTCCTCCAATTACAAGACCTCCTGGGTAGTGAGGCGGTCTTGCGATTCATAGCCTCATTACAGTCCGATGTATCGTAGTTTACCAGTTCGAAAGATTCTACGAATTCTAGACAACTCCTTTCCTGATCCGATAACACCAACATTTGAAATAACGCGTGCTGAGTTTGAATGGAAACCTTACATTTAATTATTGACCAGAGCAGAGCACAAAACCGTTGAAAATCTGCCTCCATTCCAACCCCTTCAGCGAATGCTCATTGCACTGGTGCTACCCTGAAACGCCAGCCTTTCAATCATCGCTATTTCCGCACTGAAATTCCCAACTCTCTGGGACTCCACCTCCTCATCAATCCTCTCAGCCATCCTAGATGACACCTTCCCCAGAAACTCCTTCCTGAGCGCCGTGAGCTCAGATACCACCTGGATCATGTCAGGACGAGACACGGTCGGCATGCCCGTGCAGCGCAGCGCCAGCTGTGCCAACCGCAGAATCAAATCTGCCGGGACGTCCAATCGTGGGTCTTTTAATTCCTCCGCTTTGCCGGCCGCAACAACTACGACTCCGCCTGATGGGAAGGGTTCACAAGAGGGAGTGGGGGAGAGAAGGAAAAGAGCCGGGAGGATGAGAGGTTGAATGGTGCCTGCTTGGCATGGAGGTTGAAACCACACAGGCGAGTTAACCACACAGGCGAGTTAATCACACAGGCGAGTTAATCACCCAGTGAATCTACTACTTCACTCCAAAACTCCTCCTCCATATGTGCCTCAGAAATTCTTCAACCTCCCCCTCTCCTTGTTGAAATAGCCAGATCACTTCTTTCTCCGAATCGCTCGTGAACTCACCCATTTCCTGACGTTGAAATTGTTGCGCCATTCTCATCCACTTTCAGTGCATTGTGGCCGGACATTGTGGTCAGAATGAGGATGCCAAAGCTGGGGGACGGGGAGGCATGGAAAGGAGTGGAGAGCGGTAGGGTCAATCCGAAAACTATCCGCCTTGAGAGCATGGTTTGCCCGATATTGTGGCCAGAATGAGGATTGCCAAAGCTGGCGGATGGGGAGGCATGGAAGGGGAAGGGAAGTTGAACAGGGTGGGAAGGTACGGAAAGGAGCGGAGAGCGGTTGTTTTAGGTCCGACTAAAAAAACTTTCCCATTGACTGCCTTGCGGCCTGACAGAAGTGGTCAGGATGAGGATGCCAAAGCTGAGAGGTGCCGCTCGCTCAATACCGCTTTATACCATTCTGTACCTCTCTCCACCACTCTGTAACGGTTAGCACTGGTCTGTACCTCACTCCACCGCTCTGTGCACCTGTGCACATCAGCCATGCGGGACTTGCTGGAGTTGAATAGGCAGGTTCCAGGTAGAACCGTGTGCCCATCACTCCCTCCCAAGCAATCCCTTTGCAACACAATACCGGTTTGCACCATATTGCACTGCTCAATATGCAGCTGTACCGCACTCCACCGCTCTGTACCTGTAGAAATCGGCCATGGGAGTGGCCCTCGTTGGATTTGAAATAAGCGGTTTCCACATAGCCCGGTGTGCCAATCCATTGCACTCTTCCTCACAGGATAAGAACACTCTGTAACACACTGCACCACTCTGTACCTGTACACATCGGCCATGGGGCTGGCCTTATTGGACTTGAAGTATGCGGAGTCGACACAGCCCGGTGTGCCTGCCACTTCCATGTACTCTTCTTCCAGGGCAACACCAGTTTGCACTGCTCTGTACCGCTCAAATGTACCGGTGTACCACACTGCACTGCACTGCACCTGTACACATCGGCCATGGGGGTGGCCTTGTTGGATTTGAAGTAAGCGGGGTCCACATAGCCGGGTGTGCCCATGATGCGAGTGTCTCCCACCGTCGTGCCCTCGTTCTGCCTCAGCAACCCAAAGTCTGCCACCTTGGCCTGGCGGGGATAAGGGGGTGGTGTTGTTCAGGTGAGAGTGGGATACCATACAAGGCAAGGGGATGTGAGGTGAATGAGGTAAAGAAGGCTGGAGTAAGGGTGTGGCCCATGCTGCGAGTGTCTCCCACTGTCGTTCCCTCATTCTGCCTCAACAACCCCAAGTCTTGTACTTTCGTCAGGTGCGGTTAAGGGAGGGAGGTGTGGTGGGATTGCATACAGGGCAAGGGGGTGTGGGGCGATTGAGGGAAGGGAGGTGGAGCAAGGGTGTGCCCATGATGCGAGTGTCTCCCAACATTTGTGCCCTCGTTCTGCCTCAGCAACCTAAAGCTGGCCACCTTGGCCTGGAAGGGGTGCTAGCCACTGTGGAAGGTGCTTATAACGACAAGGAGGAGAGTGTGCGAGAGAAATAAAGAGGGGCTGACCTCGAGCTTGTCATCGAGCAGGATGTTGGCGGGCTTGATGTCACGGTGCACGATGCCAAAGCGGTGCAGATACTCCAAGCCATGAGCCGTGCCGATGAGCACTGAGAGCCGCTCAGCTAAGCCCAGCGGCTGTGCTGCCCCCTCCCCCACCCACCGCTCCAAGTCCCCGTTGGCCATGAACTCGTACACTACAATTTGCTCCATGCTCAGGTCGCCGGTGGTGGAGTGCGGTGCTGCTGGGTGCATGTCGATGCAGTAGCCTAGAAGGCGGACGAGGTTGGGATGGTGCTTTGTCGCCATCGCTGCCACCTGGGGTGGGGGAGGGAGGAAAGGGAGACACAGAGGAAGGGGTGCAACGTGGTGGTGCTGGGTTCATGTGTACGCAGTAGCCGAGCAGGCGGACGAGGTTGGGATGGTGCTTTGTTGCCATGGCTGCCACCTGGAGTGGGAGAGAGGGAGGGAGGGGAGGAAGGGGTACAGTGAGGTGCTGCTGGGTTCAGGTCCCCATGAGCCATCAACTCGTACACCACTATCTGCTCCATGCTCAGGTCGACCCTGCCCAGTGCTGCTGGGTTCATGTCGATGCAGTAGCCCATGGGAGTAGGGGTGCAGTGCGGTGCAGTGCGGTGCTCCATGCTCAGGTCGCCCCTGCCCAGTGCTGCTGGATTCATGTCGATGCAGTAGCCCGAGTAGGCGGACCAGGTTGGGGTGGAGCTTAGTCGCCATGGCTGCTACCTGGAGTGGGGGAGGAAGGGAGGGGCGGAAGGGGAGTGGGGGGTGCTGGGTTCATGTGGACACAGTAGCCCAGTAGGCGCACCAGGTTCGTGTGGACACAGTAGCCCAGTAGGCCCACCAGGTTCGTGTGGACACAGTAGCCCAGTAGGCGCACCAGGTTCGTGTGGACACAGTAGCCCAGTAGGCGCACCAGGTTCGTGTGGACACAGTAGCCCAGTAGGCGCACCAGGTTCGTGTGGACACAGTAGCCCAGTAGGCGCACCAGGTTCGTGTGGACACAGTAGCCCAGTAGGCGCACCAGGTTCGTGTGGACACAGTAGCCCAGTAGGCGCACCAGGTTCGTGTGGACACAGTAGCCCAGTAGGCGCACCAGGTTCGTGTGGACACAGTAGCCCAGTAGGCGCACCAGGTTCGTGTGGACACAGTAGCCCAGTAGGCGCACCAGGTTCGTGTGGACACAGTAGCCCAGTAGGCGCACCAGGTTCGTGTGGTGCTTCATCGTCATGGCTGCGACTGGGAGATGGAGCGGGAGGAAGGGTAGTTTGAGGCGCCTCAAAATTAGATTGCTGCGACCGGGAGAGGGAGCGGGAGAAAGGGGAGGAATGGGGGTCAGGAAGCGGGGGTGGATGAGAGTGGCATGGTGCTAACCGCTCACTTGGTTGCCACCGTGCTAACCACCCACCCAGGGCATTGGGCCGCTCACCTCTCTCTGGAAGCCCTTGGTGACAACGCGAGCTCGCTTCACAGTCCACAGCACAGAGGGATCGAAGGGACTGACATCCTTGACAATGGGCGCGTGTGGTGGTGCTGCTGGGTGCAGTGTGGTCATCCAAGGTAGTAAACATACCTCTCGTTGAAAGTCCTTTGTCAGCACCCGAGCTCGCTTCACAGCCCACAGCACAGAGGGATCGAAGGGACTCACGCCCCTGTACACGTCACCAAAGCTGCCGCTGCCAATCCGGTTGCTCTCTGCCCAGCCACCCGTGGCCCGCGCCAGGTCAGCAAGGGCGAATTGCTGACAGACGGACGGAGGTGATTGGAAGGCTGCTGGTTGCTGCTGGTGCTGTGCCACGTTGGCATGCTGATGTGGCTGCTGCTGGTACATGCCACCTGGACGGACGTGACGTGAGGAGGGAAATACAGGAGGAGGTGGAAAATGAGTGAAGGGAAAAGAGGTCGCTTGAGTAAACCAAACAAAGCAAAGGTTTTAGACATTAGATGGTAGCATGGAGAGGGGAAGGAACTACTTTTGAGGCGCCTGAGAAGAGCTTGCTTGAATAAAGTTAACAAACTCATGGTGATGCTCCCCATGACATTAGATAGTAGCATGGAGAGGGGAAGGGAGAACAGTGGGAAGACTTTTGAGTCGACTCAAAAGTCACCTTGAGTAAACTGAACAAAGTCATGGTTTGAGACATAAGATGGTTGCATGGAGAGGGGAAGGGAGAACAGTGGGAATGTGCGTCGTGGATCCTGGGTCATAGGTCATAGATGGGGCATGGGACATGGTTCATGGGGCATGGGGCATAGTTCCCAGCGTATGGGCCATGGGTCATGATGCATGGCGCACAGAGGGATGAAGCATACTCACTTCCCATGTACATGGGGTGAATGACGTTCCCAGACCCAGACCCCATACCCGCCCAAGCCATGGATCATGATTCATGGCGCATGTCACAGAGGGATGAAGCATACTCACTTCCCATGTACATGGGGTGAATGACGTTCCCGGATCCAGACCCGGGTCCCATCCCCGCCTGAGGCCCTGCTGCTGCCGCATATCCCCCCCCTGCCGCCCCATACGATCCCGCTGCTCCTGCTGCTGCCGCCCCATATGCTGCTGCTCCTCCCCCTCCTGCCCCTCCCGATCCCCCGTATCCCCCTGCCACAGGAGCCGCCATGCCATTCCCCCCGCTCCCCCCTCCCCCACCTCCCCACCCCCCGCTCCCGCCTCCACTTCCCCCAAGGCCTCCCCCTCCGCCTCCGCCCCCCCCCGCCCGCATAATACGGGTTCGCATACCCCTTATTCGCCTCTAGATCAGCCCCTACTGCCGCAGTTCCCCCGTACGCCTGGCCAGGCTTATCGGCCCCACTGGCCTTGCTCTTGTGCCTGAACCAGAGGAAGAGACCGACTCCCCCGAGCAGCAGCAGCAGCAGAGTCACGCCCACCACTATGCCTATGACTGCTCCTGTGGACAGACCCTTGGAGGAGGAAGAGGAGGAGGAGGAGTTGGTGGAAGGAGGGGAGGTGGAGGAGTAGGATGGGGAGGAGTAGTAGGATGGGGAGGAGTAAGAAGGGGAGGAGTCTGAAGCTGGGGGAAAAGAGGGGGAAACGGAGGTGAGGGGGAGGGGAGGGTGGGAGGGGAGGAGGGGAGGGTGGGAGGGGGGGAAGGGGATACGGGAGACAGAGGACAAGGGAGAAACGAAAAAGGGTGAGGTAAGGGAGGGTAGTGAGGCGGAAGGGCATCGAGTGAAGAGCAGAGAATGCGTGAGAGGGGTTAAAAGAGAGGGGAGAGGAAAGAGGAGAGCAGAGAAGAGAAGGCAGAATGAGTGGTTTAATGAATCGTAGATGGGGTAAGCGGCTCGGACAGAGGATGGACATCGAAGAGGTGAGTCTTAGTAAGAGCGTGAAAAGGCGAGCGAAACAGAGGATGTGCTTCCTCCCATCCTACAGCTATATGAATGGCCGTGCGCGATACAGCACTAGCACGATCGTGACTCAGTACAGCCACTGTCCCGGATACACGACTTACACACACGTCTGTCCAGAGACGGTTACGCCGGCCAAGTTGAACGAGGCAGTGAAAACCGTGTACCCGCTATAGCACAAGCTCGTTTCAGTAAACAATCACTGTCCCAGGTACACGGACTTACAAACACACGTCTGCCCGGAGACGGTTATGCCGGCCAAGTCGAATGAGGTGGTGAAGGCCGCGTACCCGCTATAGCACGAGCACGTCCACGTGTACTGAGTGTCCCAGCTACACGTGCCGCCGACGCCACACGGGCTATCCGTACAAGGGTTGTACGCTGCGGGGGAAGCAACGGGAACAAGAGGAAGCTATTAGCACTGAATTTTTTTTTTTGTCGATTCAGAGAACCAGGGATTGGAAGTGCCGCAATGGGGCTGGTATAGTAAAGGATACGAGAAGATGACTTATAATCAAGGAAGAGCTTCTTCGGAAAAGCCGGAGGAACGGGGATTTTGGAAGAAATACGGGATCGGAACTTTCTAAGCATATCATATGGTTTTTAAAAAAGAGAAGGAAACATACTGAAGAAACCCGGAATCGCAGCGAGCATAACACTTCAACCAGTGTTTCGTCAGACACTCGTAAATCAACGTTTTCATCGCAAACCCCGAGCTTAACGCTTTCATGCGATTTTTAAAACACAGAATTCGACCGGCATGTGATCCTGTTTTACGCACGAACTGACAAACAATTCTTAATCGACTCAAAAATATTCTGACCGGCATGTGACATTTCTTACGTTCGAAGTTACAAACTCGGGAAGGCTTCTGCCTCTGAGATACTTGAACGAGCGAGAAACAATAAGCTTTACCGAGTAGCGAAAAACGATAGCTAGTACCTTGTGATGAAACTGTCTGTATTTGCGCAGCGATAAAAACGGCGGCTGCAAGCAAAATTATTGTTGAAAGCCGTCGGTTCATCCTAAAACCGTGTAAAGATGGCGCAGCCGTCATTTGCGCCGAGCCCGAGTTCCTAAAACAAAGGCTCGTCGTTCGGTCAGTTGTCAAAGCGCGCCCTCAGAGCAGACTCTGCTTCGGAAGGAACGCCGTCAGCAGTGGACGGATCTCGTGGACTGTCAAAGCTGAAAAGCGGATGCAGCCGCACGCTATGATTAAACAACGGCTATGGCGGACAATAAATATTGCGAGGTTTATGTTGAGAAGTAAACGTGTTTGACGGGACGTCAGCTGGGAAATCCCAAGCAAGCCAGAAACAGTTTCTTGAAAATCAGAACTTGTCTGGAGGAGCCATAGTTAGAAGAGCAGGGGAGGAGGGGAGCCGCGAGGGAACAAAATGGGGTGTGCTGTGCAGCAAAAGGGAGGCAGAAAGCGAGGGAGGGTGGGGTGAGGTGAGGTGGGGAGGGATATGGTGCGTACGGGAGGGAAGAGGAGTCCAGCACGGTAAGGAATCTCAAGGGGGGGCATGGGACAAGCGGGACACATTGGCAATGGCAGCAACCGCGCCGACCAATGGCAAAAGAGATGCGAAACCAATCTCGAGGCGCTAGAAAGTATTGAGGTGTGCGATTTACCGTTTTTTAACACTCATTAATCTTGATACCGAACAACCATTTTGAGTGTCAGTGCTCCCACCCCACCCGTGCTAAGTTAAACGAAGCTCTCAGCAACCCATAGAGAGCTGATCTCTGGCACTGACGATTCCTGTCCATTGGTTCACACCGTCGGGTGTTCCGCATCAGCTGAAGAAGAGTGCATTTGGCCCTCTCGGTTCGGGGGTTACTGGTCGTTTCATGCTCCCTCTGGGCTAAATCCTGTCTTGTAGGCTTTGAGGGTAACCACCTGACCACCCAGTAAATTGCAGGATTGCGTGGCGCTACCCTAGTTTCGAAACGGAAATCTCCCACGGTCGGAGAGTTCCCTACCAGAAAAAACATACGGTTTCGGAGATTGCGGTCCGCTGAGGAAATGACATTTTCCTGGAGGCTGTGTTGCAGCGATACCCTGATGCCAAAGCATTGATTCGTTATAAGAAGACTGTAGTGCTATTAGACGTTTCGTTCCACCTCTAGTAGTAGCTTCATGTTTGAAGGTATGAATAATTTTCCATTCTCGTTACATTTTATATATATCCTGACAAATTAATATAAATAGTTCTTTATATTTTTTTATGTTGAAAACTATACTATAAATGACCTGAAGCTGCTATGTGTTGATCATTTTGCAGAAGTATTTCTTATTTTCTTCGGACATGGCGTTTAATGGTGAGTCTCCTTTTATTACGACCCTAATGCCGAGTCTAATTGTAAATGGCGTTTTTGCGTTGCGAAATTTTCTGTCGACGGTTACATGTCACTTCTCCCCAAACAGTCTTCAGAGCGAATCACCGACAATTCTTTACACTCACGGTTGTCCTAGTTGGGCCGACGGCGGAAACATTTTCATGCCGAATCGCTTGTGCGACGATTTCAATCAATCACTTCGCAGGCGCGAATTTCATGAATCATGATAGACGTTGAAGCACCACTACCCACCCACCCAACTACCTCATTGCGAACAAATTTGCGGTCGCTCGCTAGTCCCGATTTTTTTTTTTTTCAATTCGACAAACGGACCAGACCGGACCGGACATGAGGACGTCACGAACCACAAATTGCTGGGGCTGCATTTCTCTTCCAACGGGCTTCTTTGAAATAGTGTAAACTGTACACGAATAACTTTCCGCATTCGGACCGTGTTTGTCGCCGCCGTTTCTTCTCGCCCAACGGGTGCTTCCCATCTCTCTTCGCTTTCCATCCCAGCCGTCGGACATTTCGGCTGCCCCTCTTCATGACCAGCCCAACCAACCATCCCTTCTACGCGACGCCCAAACATGCAATCAACTCGAGTACAGTTCCACCTTCCCCTGCCTTTTCTCGCATCTCGCCGTCATCCACACCATTCAGCCTAGCCGCGTTGCGCCCACATTTCGTTGCTTCCTGTCGTCGATTTGCGCCCTACTCTCCCATCTGTGCAACCACCCCATCCCTGCAGAAACCCAACCAACAACAACCCAACCCCGCGACAGGGTCTCTCCTCCACTCCAATCCCTTCCAGTTTGCTTCAAGCCATCAACCCCCGTTGTGTGATAGATTCCGTCCGACATTCGCGAAACCCTGATTCATGCGACCCGTCCATCACTGGCGTTTCGAAGTCCAGCATAAGCACGCCGCGATCATTTCTCCCCACTAAATGTTGAGCAAAAGTAGCTTCTGGATTTACGAAACAGCTTCCACTTCAGAAGCGCATTTCACGTTAGGTGCAGCTTTCGATTAAAAGCAGCTCGTCTGTCGTGCCAGCATAGACCACAGCAAGCACCCGCTGGGTGCCATCGCCTCGCAAGGCCGCCTCGCGCCTCGTCTCGCGCCCCGAGACCAGTTCCCACCGCGCGGCTTCCTCCCACCGCAGCCATGACTCGCCGGCTGCTACTACCCGTTCTAGTCCTCCTCGCCGCCTTCTCAGGTGCGCCTCGGTCAGGTGCGCTTATCCCCCGCTCGTTCAGGTGCGGCCGCCCCGAGACCAGCTTCCATCGCGCGGCTTACTCCAGCAGCAACCATGACCCGCCGGCTGCTACTACCCGTTCTAGTCCTCCTCGCCGCTTTCTCAGGTGCGCGCATCCCCTGCTCGTTCAGGTGCGCGTATTCCCGCCCCCTCGGGTGTGCGCCTCCCCCGCTCCCTCGCTCCCTCGGGTGTGCCTCCCCCGCTCACTCGCTCCCTCGGGTGTGCCTCCCCCGCTCACTCGCTCCCTCGAATGCGCCCCTCCGGCGCATTCCAACCTTACATGTGCCTCGTTGGAACCTTTCGAGTTGACGCTGCTGCCCATCGCGCTCAGAAGTTCCCCCCCTTTCTCCCCGCTTCCGTCCGCCCGCCTCCTCCTGCATTCCCGGGTGCCCACGGCATCGCCTCGTCCAAGTCCTCTTGAGTCGACTCAGACTTCCCCCCTTTTTTCCCTTCTCCCAACCTCTCATTTCTCCCCCATTGCGCCCCACTCCTCGCTCATCCCCAGGTGCCCACAGCATCGCGTCATCGGGGTCCGCATCGCTCCCAGACGGCGCCACGTGTTACCTGGACAGCGAGCGGCGGCCCGTTTACCCCTTCTGCCGCGGAAACAAGCGCAAGTGAGTGCGCGCGCTTGACTGGGCGCAAGTGAATCCGCGCCCGCGACTAGGCGCAAGCGAATGCGCACCCGCGACTGGGCGCAAATGCGCGCCCGGGACTGGGCGCAAGTGAATGCGCGCCCGCGACTGGGTGCAAATGCGCGCCCGCGACTGGCCGCAAATGAATGCGCGCCCACGACTGGGCGCAAGTGAATGCGCGCGCGTGTCAGGCCGCAAGGGGGTCGGCTGTCGGCTCTACCCCGTTCCCTTCCCGTCTGCCGCAATCAGCGCAGACGGGTCGTCGCTACGTTTTTCGAGGCGCCTCGAAAATGCGGGATAAGAGACGACCTTTTGAGGCGCCTCAAAAGTCGGCTGTCTGCTTTACCCCGTTCCGTTCCCGTCTGCCACAATCAGCGCAGACGGGTCGTCGCTCCGTTCCGCTCCGTCGCGCCGTCGTGCTCCGTCTCACTTCCTTCCGCTTCGTCCCCCTTCGTTCCGCTCTGCTTCTCCGTCGCGCGAGCGCTTCCGCGCGTTTATTCCGCGTGCAAGTAACTCTTGGGTAGGGACGCTAGTGACTCCGCGCGCTTGCTCACTCCCTGCTTGTCTCCCCGCCCGTCTCTCCCCGTTCCTCCCCGCGCGTCTCCCCGCAGCTGCGTGGTGACTCAGGTGCCGTCAGCACTCCAAGCAAAGTACGGCGCGAGTGACTCGGCGCGCTTACTCACTCCCCTGTTTCTTCTCCCGCCCCCGTCTGTCACACTTCAATTCCTCGTCTCTCCCCGCAGTTGCGTGGTGACTCAGGTGCCGACAGCGCCTCAAGCGAGCACTTGTGACTCGGCGCGCTTGCTCACTCCCCTATTTCTTCTCCCGCCCCCGTCTCTCACACTTCACTTCCTCGTCTCTCCCCGCAGTTGCGTGGTGACTCAGGTGCCGACAGCGCCTCAAGCGAGCACTTGTGACTCGGCGCGCTTGCTCACTCCCCTGTTTCTTCTCCCGCCCCCGTCTCTCACACTTCACTTCCTCGTCTCTCCCCGCAGTTGCGTGGTGACTCAGGTGCCGACAGCGCCTCAAGCGAGCACTTGTGACTCGGCGCGCTTGCTCACTCCTTGCTTCATTCCCAGTTGCTCCTCTTTCCCCGTCACTCTCCGCGCATTCCCCCCTCCCGTCTCCTCGCAGCTGCGTGGTGACTCAGGTGCCGACGGCGCCGCAAGCCAAGTACGTCGGCCGCTGCAACTCCACCTACACCAGTACGCGCCGCCCTCCTCTTCCCCCCACTCGCCCTACCCTTTCCCCCTCTTGCTCTCCGCCGTCCCTTGCCTGCGCGCCGTTAGAAACGCGGTACGTCGGCCGCTGCACTTCCGCCTTCACCAGTACGTGCTGCCCTCGTCTTCCCCGCCTGCTCTCCCCTTCCCCCCTCCCCCCTCTCCCCCTTCCCCCGCGTAATCCCTGCCTTCCCCACCTGCTCTCCCCTTTCCCCTGCTGGCCGGTTTCCGTCCCCTGCTAACCATCCCCCTTCCCCTCCCGGCTCTCCCTTTTCCCCTGCTGTCCCCCCACCCCCCTTTCGTCTTCCCCGTTTCCCCATGCTCATCGTTTCCCTCTCCCGCCCTTCACCTCCCCCCTCACCATCCCCATCCCCTTCCCCGTCCCCCCATCCTCCACCACACATCAGGGGGCTCCTTGTGTCGCTATGCCGGCACGCCATACGCGGTGGGGACCAGGGGCGTGCAGGGCAACGCGCTCTGTTTGAGACATCTCACCCCCACTCCCTCCGCCTCTTCTTTCCCATATCCCCCTCTCCCACCACCAGGGGGCTCCTTGTGTCGCTATGCGGGCACGCCATACGCGGTGGGAGCTAAGGGCATAGAGGGCAACGCGCTCTGCAAGACGTGTGACTGCACCTACCAGAGGAAAATGCTCACTCTCTCTTCACCTCTCCCACCACCTCCTGTTCCCCTCCCACCACCAGGGGGTTCTTTTTGTCGCTATGCTGGTACACCGTACGCCGTGGGCACCAAGGGCGTGCAGGGCAACGCGCTCTGCAAGTCTTGTGACTGCTCCTACCGGAGGAAAATGCCGGGCCCCAACCGGGCAGTCTGTTCCTGCTCCTCGCTGCCCGCCTGCTACGTTGACTATAACGGGCAGCCCGTGGGAAAGTTTCGCTGCCCGACAGAGCAAAACATGTATGCAATCAAATCATATCGGATCGATTGGATCGGATCCCTTATGACGACACATCTCATTACATATCATTCCCAACCCGTCTCCTGTCCATCACATTGAATCCTCATCTATTTGCATTCCCTCTCGTGCTCTCCAGCTCTCATGTTCTCTCAATGCTCCCTGTCAGACATTCTGCTCCATTGTCATTTCTCTGCACCAACCATTTACGCCTGCTCCCGCCCTTCCCTTCGTCCTCACGACACCTGCCCCCTCGACCCCTCATGCCCCTCTTACACATGCCAGGTGTGTGATTACCAAGATAGGAGGAGGCGGCAAGGACAAGAAGGGTCTGCCTGTGGACAAGGGCGTGTGCGTCTTCTCTGGCATCCGTGAGTTACCTGGTTACCACTCTCGTCATGGTGCCACACCCACACGCTAAAGTCTTGCCCATGTGCCAATATGACTTCAAACGGACAAGAAGGGTCTGCCGGTGGACAAGGGCGTGTGTGTGTTCTCCAGAATCCATAAGTTACATGGTTACCACCCTCTTCCCATGGTGTATCACTAGCCCCATAGGCGCATCAGTTGCCACATACCCATACACACACAGACCCATGCCTCACCCATGCGTGATTGCCTTTGAAAGGACAAGGGTCTGCCTGTGGACAAGGGCGTGTGCGTCTTCTCTGGCATCCGTAAGTTACCTGGTTACCACCCTCCCGATGGCGTATCACTAGCCCCATAGGCGCATCATTTGCCACATACCCATACCTGCATGCCCACAAACCCATGCCATACACATCATGAATGCCTTAGCCACACACCCATGCTCACACACCCATGCTCACACACCCATGCTCACACACCCATGCTCACACACCCATGCTCACACACCCATGCTCACACACCCATGCTCACACACCCATGCACACACCCACACACCCTTCCGCCCTGCCTCCCCCCCTTCACCTGCACAGAGGGCATCTATGGGGCAGCAGGGCCCAGCTGGGGACCCAAGTTCTACATGGCAGGGATAGAGGGCATGCCCAAGCCAGGGGACCGCTGCTCCCAGTGTTCTTACTGCCTCCTGTCCTCTCCTTCCCTGATCTCCCTGTGTACTCTTCTCCCTTGCCCATCACACAGAGGGCATCTGTGGAGCAGCAGGGCCCAGCTGGGGACCCAAGTTGTACATGGAGGGGATAGAGGGCATGCCCAAGCCGGGGGACCGCTGCTCCCAGAGAAAGCTGCTCTCTCAGTGCTCTTAACCCCCCTCTCTCCTCTCCCTTCCCTACTCCCTCCACCCAGAGGGCATATGCGGGGCGGCGGGGCCCAGCTGGGGACCCAAGTTCTACATGGCAGGGATAGAGGGCATGCCCAAACCGGGGGACCGCTGCTCGCAGTGCTACCTGCTCTTGCAGTGCTACCTGCTCTTGCAGTGCTACCTGCTCTTGCAGTGCTCTTACAACCTCTCTTCCCTCTCTCTTGATCTGCTGTGCCTCCTCTTTCCCCCATCCGAGCAAAGGGCATCTGTGGGGCAGCTGGGCCCAACTGGGGACCGAAATTTTATATGGCGGGAATAGAGGGCATGCCCAAGCCAGGGGACCGCTGCTCCCAGAGAAAGCTGCTCTCTCAGTGCTCTCTCCTCTCCCTTCCCTACTCCCTCCATACAGAGGGCATATGCGGGGCGGCGGGGCCCAGCTGGGGACCGAAATTTTATATGGCGGGAATAGAGGGCATGCCCAAGCCGGGGGACCGCTGCTCGCTGTGCACGTGTGGGGCCACGGGGGGTCTGCTCAACTGCAAGCGGCTGGCCAACTGCAAAACGCCCCAGAGTTTTAGCAGTGCTGCTGAGCTGGCTATCGTGCTGCAGAACGTGTAGCTTTGCAGCAGCAGTGGCGGCTGTAGCAGTGGCTGTTGCTTAAACTGACGCAGCAGCTGTTGCAGTGGCTTCAGCAGCATCACTAGCGCCATCGACAGCAACAGTTCTCCTAACATCATCACCACTATCACTCCCACCACTACAGTCACAATCATCAACCATCACCGCCACTAACACCACCATACTACCTCCGCAATCCCGCAGCCATCAGCACGAAAGCGGTAAATAGCCATCTTACAGTGGCTGGTCAAGAATACTGGTAGCGATGTAGGATGAATTTAGGTTGTGCTGAAAATCTGTTAAGTCCGGAGGGAAGGGGAGGAGGGGAGGGAGCCAGGCTATCATTGGTCAGTCTAGCCTGACACGTGTTGGGCTGACTCCCTTCGCTTGCCTTGTGTGTATGTGCTTGCTTTCAATAAAGAAGGGCTTTTTATTCAATCAAACATTTCAATCAGTGCGACCAGGCCATGGTCAGCAATATGAATATTTTTAAAAGCTGTAACGCTTTTCAAATTTTTGTATTTTGAAAGCGAAGCTGTTTGTAATGTAGGAATGGGCAGAGTCGAATCGCGCTAAACGCCCGTTTTGGAGTACAAAACGTGGGCTGGAGGTCATTTCCCTCCACCCACGTCTCTCATTTTCAAACGGTTTAGCCAATTTTCCCGCCCGCCCACCCCTCGGAACTAGCGACAACCGTAGGCAGTGTTTGTTTATTAGTCTGCTAGAATTGCTTGGATTTCAATTGTACTAAACCCACTTGAAATGAGACGATGCCATTGCTACATGAAAGAAAGCAAGCTTTCTAAATCATACAGTATCACATTCAGCCACGAGTGTAGCTGATGAGCTTACGGTATGAATGCACGGGAACGTGGGAAATGGAGCAAGCAGTAGTGCTGGCTGCTGCTTGGTTTTGCATGCCTTTACTGTAGAAGTGTGCACCGGTGTACTCTGTTCCTGACTGGATGCTTTTTATTACTGCTGATTTCATTACAGTACCCTGAGTGTGCTTACTCACTTCATTCCATTCCAAGCATCAGGCATAGATATTGGAGTCACTTGCATATAAGATGCTTTCGCACTGCTTGCTATGGTACGTGTTTCTCCAACTTGTTGGAAATACAATCATAAAGTAAATTTATACGCTGTTAGATATTAGTGTAGTACCCTTTATAAGACTCCAGGTCCTACAATAATTGTGCAATTATTGTAGGGCCAGAATTATTGGGGGTCTCGAATTATTGGAGGGTAAGAATTATTGGTGGGTAGCATTATTGGTGCACCATTATTGGTGTGGATGGGTGGACTTTGGAGGGTTAGGTGCCTGGATAAATACCTTGCTGTGTGGTGCCACAATCTATTCCATTGTTATGAGTCCTTTCAGTTGCAAAGTTTCTCTTGCTACTTTCTACAATCAAGCTTCCGCTACGACGGCACTATGCCTTTCTAGCATGGTATCAGAGCTACTCTAGGGGGCATGCTGCCGAAATTCGGTCAGGCACTTATCATCAAGAACGTTTGACAAGGATATTAGCAAGTCAGCATAGGTACGAGCAACTTTCTGGATCAACGGCATGGCACGGTTTGATGAGGAAGTTGACGCAGGATACGCGGCGTTTGAAGAGGCCATTATGGCTCAACATGAGCACCTGGAGAACATGATCGCAAGGGCACCACCGACACTTCAAGCATCATTAAGAGTCAAGTTCAACATGCCAAGTCAAGCACAAGACCCATCCACCCGTGAACAGTCACATGCAAGCACTCCGCGTACTAACCAAACCCATGCTTCAAATGTGGATGCAGGGGTTGAAGATGAAGGAGAGGGAAGCCTACCCCAAGGAGGAGAGTCATCCCAAGGGAGGGATGCATCCTTCCAAGGAGAGGGGAGCTCCCACCCCGAACCTCAATCAATCATGCAAAAGGAAGCAACGTGGAGGGATGACGCGTACGGGAGTGGAACAAATGTGATGGAGCATGGTGATGAGATCGGCGTGAGAAGAAACATGAGAGGACAGATTGGTGAAGGGAGTGGTCGAAGCAGTCATGTGGGCATGGAAGGTGTGGGATTCGAATCCTACACTATTGGTGCTCCCCCACTGCGACGTCTTGCTACTAACTCCCACCCCATTGGAGTTCCCGTGATGGGCAGATCTCACCTTTTTGGCAATAATGCCGTACCTCCTCGTGCGCCACGGTCTCAAATGGAAGCTGTACCTGCAGGAAGCATGGGGCGCATGGGGCACGGGATGCAGTCAAGTGGTGTTATGCGACGTGATCAAGTGGAAGTGGTGGAACGTGAAGGCACACAACGCACGATACAACTACCTCGACCATCTAACGTGCCTACGCTCTTCGACCCATCTCCACGCGAGTACACGGAAGAAGACAAGGACAGGTTGTCACGCAAGATGGTGGGAGCAGCAGTGGACAAAGCGTTCACAACAACCCCGTTCGACGGGACTAACTTCCGAGAATGGGCTCTTCGGTTTCGCATGAACGCACGCGTGACAAATCTGTGGGAGTTTTTCGTGACACTTCAATACCCGGTTACAATGGCGAATGGAGAAATGCGAGATGCAATGGAACGGCTGGAAGTTCTGCAAGCAGATTACTCACAACGGGCTACGCTGGCTTTTTGGGTGCTGCTACATAGCGTGAGCGCAACGATTCAGCTGCAACTGGACGTATTCCAAGAGTCATACAGTCCGGCATTCGAAGCATGGGAGTATCTGATGGAGACTTACCAGGCGAAGGATTCGGTGGCAAAGGCGTCTCTCCAGAGGCAATTGGACAACCTGAAGATGGGGAGCCAAGAAAGAGTGGAGGAATACATCAACCGAGCAACTGCAATTCGAGACAAGCTGGCAATGGCGGGAAAGATGGTGGATGGAGATTCGTTCACTTTAAATCTGATTACCGGGCTGCCGCCGCATTGGGAGGAGCTGAGGCATTCGGCAATGCTACACGACATCTCGGACAGCTACACACTACAGCGAATGATGATTCAGGAACAACGCTACCAAGACCTCATTAGCAAGACCAACCGTGACAAGCGTCCTCCGCGCATGGCTGGCCAAGCACGTGGAGATACTTCACCAGCAAAGGAGAGGACCGAGACAAAGGGCAACCAGAATGCGGTTGGGGAGAAACTCAAGGCCAACGAAGGAAGGGGAGGGCGCTCCAACCTTGTGTGTTGGTACTGCAAGGAATCTGGCCACCCGTTCTACAAATGTCCTAAAGCGCCCCCGGGTTGGTCACCACCAGGGTGGGAACCACAAAACAGAGGGAGGACAAACCAGCGCACCTGGAATAGCCGTTCGTCCTCGCCTCGAAGGAGTGAAAGCCCCAAACGTGACAACCAAGCGTCAAAACAGCAAGGGGCAGCCGGGGGAGACAACAAACGCACCGTTACATGCGTTGCAACGATTCGGTCGTCACAAGCAATGTTACCAACAGCCGGAGGGTCGCTGTGGTTGCTGGACAGCGGATGCAGCCAACACATGACTTCAGAAAAGGATTGGTTTGAGGGTCTAGAGGAGCTGGACGAACCTGTTTACGTGGAGCTTGCTGACGGGAGCCACCTGTTGAGCTCGATGGCGGGAACAATCCGGGCAACGGCACCCGATGGAACAATAGTGCGCTACACGGATGTGCTTTACGTACCTGGCTTGAAGTCCAGCCTGCTCTCCTATTGCCAGCTGCACACGAAAGGAGCTCGGATTCGCACTCGTGATGACGGACGCACGGAGATTACTATGGCGGCTGAAGATGAGCATGTGGTCATTGGGGTTGGAATGATCATGCATGGTGTGCTCATGGTGCAGTATGAGCCTGCACTTGCATCTGCCCATGGATCTGACCATTACCATGAGGAAGACGCATTGCATGATCATGGTTATAAAGGGCTGAATCCACTTTCAGCGCATGCATCCATCACATACCGCATGGCCCACAAGCCCTTGGGTCACCCATCATACACATCCATGGATGCAACATTTCGAAATGGTGATGTTGAAGGACTCACCATATCCGACAAGACTAACCCTCTCAAACCCCCATGTGACTCATGTCTTCGAGGGAAGATGAGCAAGGCCCCCTTTCCCACAGGAAGTACCAATGCCACAACTCGACCTTTGGAGCTCGTGCATAGCGACATCATGGACATGGGTGATGCTCACCCTTCAATTCGCTATGTGCTGACGCTCAAGGACGACTACACCAACTACCTGTGGGTGGCGCCGTTGGCTCGCCGGTCCGACATGGCTGCAGTTTTCTCGGCTTGGCACCGTGAGATGAAGACCAAGCTGCCCAAGACGCCGTTGGCTGCCTTGCGCACGGACAACGGGGGGGAGTATACATCAAACGCATTCACGGATTTCCTGAGTTCTCACGGTATCAATCACCAAACGTCCTTACCACATACGCCGCAGCAGAATGGAGTCGCTGAACGGGTTAACCGCACACTCATGGACTGAGTGCGTGCAATGACTACCGGGGCCAGCCTTTCTTCTAAGTTCTGGCCTTATGCACTGGAGTATGCAGCCTGGTTACACAACCGCATCAGCTGCAGCAGCAACCCATCAGCACACTCACCGTACTTCATGATGACAGGAAAGGCGGCAGATGTTTCAATGGCAAGGACCTTTGGCTGCCTCTGCTACTACCTCCCTCCCCAAGGTAGCTTTGGGAAGTTCGAGCAAAGAGGAAGGGTTGGGATGTTCCTTGGACTCTCCAACGCTCGGAGGGCATGGATCGTGCGGGACTTGGCAAGCGATGTTGACACGGACACACGCTCAGCTCGCTTCTTTGATGACCTCATGATTCCGGACGCTGAATCGGTACTCGAACGCCACCGCTACATGGAAGAAGTCTCACCTCACATCGACGGCTGGACTTCCGGGGGAGAAGGCTTTGGGTCCGAGTTGGACTCATTTCCCGCATCCTCGCCATCGCCTACGTCGTCCACGGACGCATCAACCACACGAGGACAGGAAGCTGTCGCAAATCAAGAGGATGCACCCATTGACGACGCAACCAATAAGGGAGAAGGGGGTGCAGCAAGTGACTTACCTCCAGCTGGCGTCTCTGTTCCTGAAGGTGCTGAAAGCAACGAAATGGAGAATGAGGCAAGTCATATCTATGACTTTGCCTACCCACCTGATGGGATCGAGCTGGCAGTTCATGACGCAACTCTACGGCGGGTTCACTTCAACCCAACTGTGACTGTGCTCGGAGGAGAAGGACAAGGGACGGACACCATGACAGGACTGGACGTGCTGTTTGGGAAATGACAGGCAACACAAGCGTTCAACAAACATCCCAACTTGCAGCAACACGTGCTAGGATGTGCAGCAACCGGCGTCCCCATGGTGGACTTGACATACAAGGAGCCCAAAACGCTCAAAGAGATGACAACAGATCAGTATGCACCTCGTTGGCAAGCTGCGGTGGATGCAGAGTTGGCAAAATTCGACGAGCTGGAAGCATATGAAGTCGTGGACAGAGCTGACGTACCAAAAGGAGTGCCAGTATTGACAGAAGGAGTCGTGTTGAGGGTGAAACGAGACGAGCACGGGGAGCCGAATCGATTCAAGGCACGCTGGGTGGTGAAGGGATGCGGACAGACTTGGGGAACATACGACGAAACATACGCCCCAGTCAGCCAAGGACCTACCTCGCGCATGTTTGTTGCTGGTGCATCGGCCACGAAACGGAAGGTGGTGCAACTTGACATTTCCAACGCGTTCCTTTACGCACCAATCGACAGAGACGTGTACGTGCGACCTCCTGAACCTCGGCGTGAAGGAGACAAGGTCTGGAAACTCAAGCGCAGTGTATACGGACTGAAACAAGCACCACGCTTGTGGCATCAGCACTTACGGGGTGTCCTGTTGGAGCTAGACATGGTGCAGTCCGAATCTGACCCATCGCTATTCCTATGGAAGAGAGAAGGCAAAGACATGGTATGGCTGCTTACTTACGTTGACGACATCCTCATCCAGTCCCATGACGACAAAGGGATTGAAGCTGTGATTCAACACTTGAAGCAGCACTTTACCTTGACCATCAGCAAGACCATGACGCAGTTTTTGGGGCTCAACGTCGCTACTGACAACGGCTCGATCTCGCTCGGACTCACAAAGTAAATCTCACAGGCTTTGGCGACCTTCGGGATGGAGAGCAGCCGTTCCGGAGTTCGGACACCGATCACCAAGGAACCTGGACCACAAGGAGAACCACCGGACGAGATTGATGGTCAATTAGTGCTGAAACAAGTTGGGACATTGCTGTACATTTCAACAGCAGGGAGGCCGGACATCACCTATGCAGCGCATGTGCTGGCCAGCCAAGCAAGCAAACCAACAGCAACAACAGTGCTTGGAATCCACAGGGTGTTCAACTACTTACAGAACACTGCGGACATCGGGCTGGTCTATGGAGGAGAGGACTTGGTGCTCCGCGGATACACAGACTCGGATTATGCGAACGAAGCAGGGCGTCACTCCGTTGGAGGCTACGTGTTTACCTTGGGAGGAGCTGCCGTCAGTTGGAGGACTAAACGGCAAACTGTCATTGCAACATCAACAGCTGAAGCAGAATACATTGCACTGTTCGAAGGGGCAAGGGAAGCTACATACCTTCGCCGCTTGTGTGAAGACCTCGGTTTTCAACAGCAAGAACCTACTGTCATCTTTGTGGATAACCAAAGCGCAATTGCACTTGCAACCGGGGAGCAGATGAGTCAACGCATCAAGCACATGGACGTCCGTTACCATTGGACGCGGAAGGCCGTTCGTGATGGAGTTGTGCGGCCGGAGTACTGCCCGACAGCTCAGCAGGCTGCGGATTATCTCACCAAGCCCCTCACAGCAAAGCAACATCTCACCTGCAGCCTCTTGTGCGGTCTCCAACCACTTCCACATGGAGCCCCGTCTGCACCCAGTCCTCACATTGAAGCCGCTGGAGCTGCACGCTCATGTACGGGCCTCTCAAGGGGTGCTGGACAACAAGGCATCACGTAACTCCACACATCTCACTCATGTGTTTGGTGCTGTGTGCGTGCTCACGCATGTGCATGACTACCAACACACGAGTGAGAGGGGGAGTGGGGTGTGGAGTATTTTGGGGTGCAACCATTTGGGATCTGATCGCACAACCATCTTTCATTTTCGCCATTACAAGAGTCAGCACATATGCATCAAGAGAAGACCTACTGCAATCAGTGACAAGAGCAGCCATCAAATTCTGTTGGACAGTCGCTGCTGGTTGGTCACAACCACTCACCAACTGCAACGGCCGTTCCTGAAGACTTCATATGCCTGCTGGTTTCAAGGGGGGAAGAAACAAGTCAGCATGAGTCAGCATGAGGCAAGCAGACAGAGGAAATCACAAGAAACTGCTGACAAAGTCCTACTAAATACAAGGGAAGACAGCTGGAGTCAGACGCTGCTGGGACTGCTCACCAAGGTGACACAGGTGCTGCTGATACCGCTGCCACCCAGTGCTAGAGCTGCACCAGTGCAAGCGGCCAGGGCATCAGGGAGAACTGCTGCAGGCCCGGTGCTGCAGGGCTTCAGGTGCTGCAGGGCGTCAGGGGGAGCTGCTGCAAGCGACCGGTGATGCTACTGCCGCCAGTCAGGTGGTGCTGGCAGAAGTTTGCAGAAGCAGCCGCCAGGTGCAGGAGCAGCCGCCAGGTGCTTGTGTACCAGTTGCAGCTGCTTCCGTCCGCCACCTGGTATAGGGGGAGTGGCACAGGGCAACATGGAGCAACACAGGGTCAAGGGGGGCAGCACAGGGTAACATCACAGGGTACAACGGGTAACATGGGTGAAACAGTCAGGTTCGATGAAGCATTCTCACCTCAGTAGGAAGGAGAAAGCCGTGCGCCGCCAGGAGTAGCAGTAGTGAGCCGCCAGAAGTAGCAGCAGTGGGCCGCCAGGAGCAGCAGCCGTGCGCCACCAGGAGCTGCAGACGTGCGCGCCAGAGCGCCAGGTGCCGATGCCGGCTGCAGCCGCTCACGCTCGCTAGCTGGTATGGGCGGGGGCAAGGAAAATCACAAGAGAATGTGGGAGCAGTAACAAGTGACTTAGCACGGTCAGTGCTGCAGTACATCAATTGCAAGAAACACACATGAGTGAGGTCAAGGTGCAAGCAGTGGTAGTTACACGGAGAAGGGCTACTCACCTCGTCACTAGCACAAGGTCGCCCGAAATGGCAAGGGGAGGGCGCGCACTAGCAGAAGCCGCCACATGCGATGTAATGCAGCGGCGCGCATGCTGCTGCAGTCGTGCGCCAGCCGCTGCTGCCGATCGCCACGGGCGCCATGAACAGCAGTCGCGCGCAAGGAGCTGCAGCGCGCAGGTTGTCAAGCGAGGAGGTCACGGCAGCCGCGCGACCGAAGCAGCAGTCGCGGATCTGGCCGCAGCCGCAGGAAACGCGCATCTGGCGCTGCAGGTCGCCACGTGCGCTGCTGTCACCGAGCGCCAGCCATGACATGGCGAGCGCTAGTGATGCGCGCTAGCTACAGCTGAAGGACATCGCGCCATGGCGAAGCACAACGCACACCAGAAAATCGTCACGACTAAAGCAGCAGTCGCGCGACAGCAAAGGAAATCGGGTCAGCACTGGAAGGCGGAAAAAGCAGCGCGTCCTAGGTCACATGACCAGAAAGAAGCCGTGCGCCATGAAGATATTCGCCAGCAGCAGCTATCCTAAGACGAAGGGAGGCAATCCGCTCTGCTGCTGGGAATCGCGCTGACCGTGGACATCGTCAGCGGTGGCAGCAGCCATGGCTAGGAAACTATCGATCTGGAAGCTCCTGCACTAAACGAGACAAGTGGCAATCGGAAATGGCGAAATGACTTGACCCCTGCTGGAGAAGGGTGTGGGAGAAACGGGAGGTGTGCATGGCGACAAACTGAACCAAGAGCCTGACAGGGGAGCGTCCAGTGCACAGAAGTTCGAGAGGGTGGGACGAGAACCAGAAACCCTCGACCTGAACGAGGGTCGCGAGAATTGTGAGGCGGAGAATCAGAGCGCAGCAGCGCAACACCTGAGCAAGGAAACGTGCATCTGAGGAAATTGGGAACGTGCGGAAGACATCGTAACTGCTGCAACAGTGTTTCCGACAAACGCGGTGTCAACGGAAACCCAACGGCTGAGTCTTCACCGCAATTACCGCCGTGACCAAAATCAGTTCCGGATTCCACTCCACCACCCTATCGCCTCCGCAATCAACGCCATTTACACGTTATCCTCCACAAACAAACTCACTAAAATCTACAGCAAGGGGGAGTGTTGGAAATACAATCATAAAGTAAATTTATATGCTGTTAGATATTAGTGTAGTACCCTTTATAAGACTCCAGGTCCTACAATAATTGTGCAATTATTGTAGGGCCAGAATTATTGGGGGTCTAGAATTATTGGAGGGTAAGAGTTATTGGTGGGTAGCATTATTGGTGCACCATTATTGGTGTGGATGGGTGGACTTTGGAGGGTTAGGTGCCTGGATAAATACCTTGCTGTGTGGTGCCACAATCTATTCCATTGTTCTGAGTCCTTTCAATTGCAAAGTTTCTCTTGCTACTTTCTACAATCAAGCTTCCGCTACGACGGCACTATGCCTTTCTAGCACAACTCAGCAAGAGCCTTAGGACGCTGTAAAAGTGCTAGATTGGGGGGAGATCGATCAAGTCACCGCACTGAAGACCCGCGTTTTGCATACGAAAGGTACACAATCGTTTATAACCGTGTCAAAAAACGATCCTGAGGCGATCGATTCTCCACTTTTACCGCGTCCTTAGCAGCTGCTCATTCCATGCATCAGGCGCACCCGGCAAGCGGCAGTGGGCGCAGTCAGCTATTGAGCAATCCGATATACACTGGTTGACATTGGCAATACATAGTTCACTAGTGTTCAGCACAGCAGCCTTAGCAACTGCTCGTTCCACGCATCAGGCACGCCCGGCAAGCACCAATGGGCGCAGTCGGCCTGGCCGCCAGCCAATCCCGAGAAGACACCTGGATGCCCGTCGTGCCGCATCACACTCATTGCTGCCACTTCTAACAGTACTACTCGCGCTCCCTCTGGCCTTCTGCTCTCCACTCTTGCTTCCTCTCGTCTTCTCCTCTCCATCCTCGCTCCCTCTCGCCTTCTGCTCTCCACTCTCACTCCCTCTAGCGGTCCCTTGTGCCGCAACCCTTCCCGTTCCCCCAACCCTCCCTCGTGCAACATCCCTTGCTCGTCCCGCTGCTGTCTTGACCTTTCCTGCTGCTGTATCTCCCACCCTGTGGTGTCTCCGTGTCGCGGAAAGCGTACGATTTGCAACGAGCTGTTTGCATGAAGCATTGCTTCCCGCCCTGCCTTTAGCATTGCTTCCCGCCCAGCATCCAGTAACACTTCCCGCCCTGCCTTTAGCATTGCTTTTCGCCCAGCATCCAGTAACACTTCCCGCCCTGCCATTAGCATTGCTTTTCGCCCTGCATCCAGTAACACTTCCCGCTCTGCCTTTAGCCAAGATTGCCGGCCTTTCTTTAGCACTGCAATTTGCCCTGTGCTGATCCCCTCCGCTGCTGCTGCTGCATCGCCCGCCACTTGCAGTAATTTTCTCCTCCTTCTCCCGGCCTCGCTCTCTCCTACTCTCTTCCTCCTCTTCTCTTCTCTCTCCCTCTGAATCCTCTGATACTCCTGCACCTCCTCCCTCACCACTGCATTCAACCGCTCCACTCGCTCCCACTGTTCCTCGTACTCGTTATAAGCCTCCTCCTCACTCCCCACAGGCTCCGTCGCATCGCACTGCCCCCGTTTCTTAACGGATTTGCTCTTTTTGCTCTTAGAATGCTTCTTCTTTGCACCGCTTGTTGCAAGCAATCTCCGGCGCTTAGCTAAGTGTCTAGAGGCATCAGAGTCTTGGCCAAGTGGGGATTCCAGGGAGTTCAGTGCGGTACTCTGAAAGGACTGGGAGTAAGTTGAGTGGTCACGAGAATGGGGAGTGGAGGGCTTATGGGAGAAGTGGTTGGGGGAAGAGGTGGTGATGATGACGGTCTTGTTGGTCATATGGCGCGATACAAAGCGGTGCAGAGTGGTGCGGATGGCTCGGCGGAAGGCAGAGAGGATGTTAAGGGATTTGTGGGGTGGGGAGAAGCTGACGTGGCGCTCTGCGAGCTTGCCACGTGTCCACCAGTGGCCTGAGTAAAAAAGAAGCGCATGATCCAGGAGAGAGGTGGGAGAAGAAGGGAGGGGGGAGTGAGGGAGTGAGGGAGCGAGGGAGCAAGGGGAGTTGAGAGTGGAAGGTGAGTGACAAGAGAAAAGCAGCAAGAGAGAGAGCAATGTGTGTGTGTGTGTGTGTGTGTATGCAAGTGTAAACATGTAAATACACGGCCATCACCACCACCCTCACCTGAGTTAATCACAAACACGTCGTGGTTCTTCGCCCGCTGCTTCCACCGCTTGTCGGGGCGAGACAGGTACAGCGTGGCGCATGAGTGTTGCATGGGTAGTGAATGTGTACTAAACGTGCACCGCCCTCACCTGAGTTGATGACAAACACGTCATAGTTCTTGATCCGCTGCTTCCACCGCTTGCCAGGGCGAGATGCAAGGGTATGCAAGGTGCATGCATGCCAAGCACACACACTGTCAGCACCACCCATCACCACCGCCCTCACCTGAGTTGATGACAAACACATCATAGTTCTTGACCCGCTGCTTCCACCGCTTGTCGGGATGAGACAGGTGCAGAGTGAATCCCAGGTGCATGCATACAAACACACACACAGCCATCACCACCACCCTCACCTGAGTTGATGACAAACACATCATAGTTCTTGACCCGCTGCTTCCACCGCTTGTCGGGATGAGACAGGTGCAGAGTGAATCCCAGGTGCATGCATACAAACACACACACAGCCATCACCACCACCCTCACCTGAGTTGATGACAAACACATCATAGTTCTTGATCCGCTGCTTCCACCGCTTGTCGGGACGAGAGAGGTACAGAGTGGCGCCCTTGAACTCGTCCGTGGGGTCCTTGAAAGAGATCTCCGTGAGGAAGTTGCTCCTGGGGGGGGATTGGAGGGACGGGGAGCGGTGATGTGCGGTGTGGGAGGATATGAAACGGTGAGTGTGCAGTACGGGGGCGTGTCAAGCAGGGAGAGGTACAGAGTGGCGCCCTTGAATTCATCCCTGGGGTCCTTCAAAGATATCTCCGTGTGGAAGTTGCTCCTGGGGGGATTTGGAGGGACAGGGAGCGGTGATGTGCGGTATGGGGGGGTGTGAAGCGGTGAGTGAGAGGTGCAGAGTGGCGCCCTTGAACTCGTCCGTGGGGTCCTTGAAAGAGATCTCCGTGAGGAAGTTGCTCCTGGGGGGGGATTGGAGGGACGGGGAGCGGTGATGTGCGGTGTGGGAGGATATGAAACGGTGAGTGTGCAGTACGGGGGCGTGTCAAGCAGGGAGAGGTACAGAGTGGCGCCCTTGAATTCATCCCTGGGGTCCTTCAAAGATATCTCCGTGTGGAAGTTGCTCCTGGGGGGATTTGGAGGGACAGGGAGCGGTGATGTGCGGTATGGGGGGGTGTGAAGCGGTGAGTGAGAGGTGCAGAGTGGCGCCCTTGAACTCGTCCGTGGGGTCCTTGAATGCAATCTCCGTGAGGAAGTTGCTCCTGGGGGTGGGGGAGGAATGGGGGAGGAATGGGGGAGGGAAATGGTGTGCAATGTGGGGGGGTGGTGAGGAAGTTGCTCCTGGGGGGGGGATATGGGGGACAGGGAGCGGTGATGAGCGGTACAGGGGCGTGTTTCAAGCACGGGGAGGGGGAGGTATTGCGGTGAAGTGCGGTGTGGTGGGAGAGTGTGGTAAGCAAGAGGGGTATTGAGTGGCGCGATCGAGGTCGTCCATGGTTGGGGTTCTTGAAAGGGATTTCAGTGAGGAGGCTGCTCCTTGGGGGGATGGGGGATGAGGGACACGCCGGCCGGCTCAGAGTGTGTGTGTGTGTGGCACAACAATGGGGTTACTTTAGATTCGAGAGGGTATCGTTGCAGGTGTCCCATCTGATCACCCTTCCCACAACATTCGCGTGCACCACCTCGGGATTGCCGGCTTATGTGTGGCACAACAGTGAATTTACCTGAGGTTAGCGAGGGTAACGTTGCAGGTGTCCCATCGGATGATCCGCTCCACCACATTCGCCCGCACCACCTCGGGATTGTCGCCGCACACGGGGTGCGCATGCACCATGCACGCCATGCTCTCAAACATGTTGCGCATCATGCTGTCCCCTATGTATGCCACACGTGTCATCATTCCATTGGGTGTCACGGGTGTGGCAGATCCAACCCCGCTCCCATGCCGCACGCCCCGTAGTGCATCACACCACGATCGCTCCTTCCCCTCCGTCTCCTCCCCTTCCTCCACTCCCCCCCAGCCCTCCCGCCCTTCCCCACTCCGCTCCACCCCCTGCCGCCACGCGTATCGCTCGAACCTCGTGTCGTTGCGGCCGTTGGATCGGCAGTTCTGCCCAGGGAAGATGAACGGACAGGATGCAGCGGAGTAGAGCGGCCAGGATGGGTCCTTCTCGTCCACCCACCGCCATCCCCACTCCCCTCCCTCCACTCCCTCCCTTCCCCCCTCCTTTCCTCCCACCCCTCCCTCCCTTTTCTCCCCTCCCTCCCCTCCTCCTTTCCCCTCTCCCAATCCCCCTTTTTCTCTGTCCCCTACTTGCATCTGTCCTCCCTCACCCCCCTCTTTTCTTCCCTCCACGCTTCCCTCCTTGCTCTCTGTGCCTCCCTCTCCCCGCCCATCCCCCACCCCCACCCCTCTTTTCGCGCGTTCCGCTCCGCGCGTCTCCTCCGCGCCCTCCGCTCCGCGCGCCTCCCCCTCGCCCCCCGAGGCAGCGCGCAGCGCTCCAGGCGCCGCAACACCCTCGCCCGCCCCGCGCCCCCGCGCGCGGACTACCGTATGGAGCGCTGTGTCTGGCGTCATAGACGGGCTAGCGCGGTTCGCGCGCTCCTCCCCCTCTTCCGCATGCTCCCCTTCCGCTTCCCCCTCCCCCCTCGCTGATTCTTCCGTTCCCTCCTCTCTTCCCCCCTCCCGCTCTTGCCTTCCCGCTTCCCTGTTCTCCGCTTGCCCTTCCCCTGTAGTCTCGTCATCGCGCAACGTCAGCATGTCCCCCCTCTCGCGGCGCCCTCTGTCCCTTAAAGAGCCTTCTGACGTCATCTCCATCAGCTGCCGCTCGGAGAACCCGCCGCGAATCGCGGACGGCCCGCCAAACACGCTGAAGTAGCCGTTTCGCGTGCCTAGGCTATCCGTTGACTCTGAACCCGGTGTTCCGCTGGCAGCGCCGCGATCGTCGCCGTGATTAACGGCGGTGCGGAGAAAAGCCGGCCACAGGCCGGCGCACCCTAAAAGGACGAGGAGGGTGAAAAGACGGGGAAGGGATACGCAGCTCGCGACAGCTGCTCGGGCTGGCGACTTCGGCGAACCCTTGGCGAATTGCTGCGAAGAAGGTGTAACTGTCGCGTGAGAGAGACATTGATCGGCTGGCGGTTTCGGCGACACGCGAAACATGGAGTCGCGACGTTCGCTAAATTTAGGGTCCATGGTTACCCGAAGCTGACGACGGTACTTCGCTACAGAGCGTCGTAAAAGAGGAGTTGCTGATGTGGAAGGCAAACGGGGCAGCGAAAGATGTTACACACACGCTACGACGAGCGCCTGTGACGCGCTTCCTAACACCGCGATATCCGTTAAACTACTGGGAAACCACTGGGCACAACGGCGGCTAGCCAGAGCGCCGCAGCGGTTGGGGTTAGCCGTCGGTAACACGCGTGGATGTCACGCACTCGCTAATATTCGCCAGCGCAAGGGGAGCGCGATTCGCAATCCACCCGGCAAGCACGCCTTCCGCTGCCGTGCTGTTGGATTAATCTTCCCTTCCTCTCTGCTCGCCGATTCACGAAAACGAGACGGCTAAGAGCATCGAAAATGGTGCGTGAGATAATGACTCGTTAGATGACATCTATGGACGGGACAGCAAGGAGGGCGCGCTTTCCAACGAGGAAGGTGAGGTGAGGTACTGTACAGTAGAGTAGCTCGGCAACTACTTGCAGACGGCGGCGCTAGTCGGTTGAATGACGGCAACCACACCACGCGCCGCGGCGCGACATGGCATGGGGAGGGGGGTTGCTCTGGTCCAGAGCAGCAGCTGTGTGGTGGTGCTAGGCTGTATGCGAATTCAGGCGAGCACGTTCACGAAGGGTTACATGCACGAAACAGAATATGTCCACGATTCTGGATGGGTTCACTAGAAGCATCCCGCGAATCTTGAGCTACATGCACACTTCTACGTAAGAACAAAGAGTGAGGAAGATATGTGGACTGTAGACAGGCACCTGCCCAGGTGGGTGCACACTTTCAGCAATTCCCCATCTTACTTCTGGGAATTGAAATTCAATACACCGTATTCTGTAAATCATATACTGAAACGATGCGACTCTTGTCGAGGTTCAACAAAAGAGTATGCATCCTCCCCACCCGTTGCCATAGTGCACGAGTCGCTTTGTGATCACCAGTTGACATATGAACCGCTTATCTCCGCGCAAGTAGGGGTCACACAGCTGAGTTTCCCAGCGTATGACTCGACGACGCGCTAGGGGCGTGTGGAATGAAGCTTCCAAACGGCCTGAAGCGGTGCGAGGTTGCCGGATGATGTGGAACAAGCCTGTGCTTTATGTTTCAGAGTTGGTACGGAGCGGAATAGTGTGGTGAACAATTGGAGCGGAACTTTTTTGTTCTCGTTACTATGCTACCCCGTTTAGGCAGCAGAATGAGTCGCTCTTCTCTCCTCCTCGCGTTTCTACTGCTCACCCATCTCGTCGCAATCTCCTCGTCAAATCTCCACCGTCCATCCACCACAGGCCGTAAATCTCGCAATCTCCTCTCCTTCAAGCATTACCGAACTCGTTCGTTACTCTTCTCGCAACAAACTGCAGCGCAACGATCGTCGCTTGCACGAGCAATTTCGTCGTCCGGTTCGATTGAGCGACGGTTTCTCCCAGGCGACGGTTTCGCAACGGGTCGTCATTCGCCATCCGTCGCACAGCAGGAATCTGCTTTCGAGCCGCCTCGTAATCAGCGGGAGCTTGGCGACTCGAAATCCGCCGCGATTTTCCCGCGCATTCCCGGGTCCCTCGCGAAAGCAGAGCCGAAGCCGCCTGTCGCAGCGTCGCAGCAGGATTCGCGTGCGACGATAGGCGACGACCCGATAGAGCGTGCGAATATCGTCGGGAGAGCCGAACTCTATGTCGCGGATGGCATGGGATCCGGTAAAGACGCACCATCCTCGTTATTAGCGTCTTCAGTGCTCACGGATACTAGTCAAGGCCCTTTGCTAACGGATGTCAAAGTGGGGTTGGATGGCTTGGTTGTGGAATCGCAATGTGACACTAACGAGGGGTTCTGGGAGGAGGATTCGGAATGGCCTCTTTATAAGGCGGGAGACTGCCCCTTAATCTGGCACACGGGGAATCAGTGCATGGAAAACGGCAGGCCGGATACTCTCTATCAGCGGCTTCGATACAAGCAACCTCAGTGCCCCGCGCCGAAGCTCAACGGGAACACTTTGTGCTCGTTAGTGGCGAACAGGAGCATCGCGTTTGTGGGCGATTCGTTAACGGAGAACATGTTCGAGTCGCTCATCTGCCTGCTGCACCGCTTCCATGGTTCCCCGGATCCTATCAGCGTGGGGCAGCAGGAGCGGGTGCTTCGCTGGCCTGCTTGCAACACCACTATTGCCTTCTACTGGTGAGTCTTGTACGGTGGGGATGCTTATGGTTGTGAACAAGGGGCGAGGGAAGTGCGAGAGAGAGGGGGGTGGGTAGTGGAGGGCTCCCCGGATCCTGTGAGCGTGGGGCAGCAGGAGCGGGTGCTCCTGTGAGCGTGGGGCAGCAGGAGCGGGTGCTGCGCTGGCCCGCTTGCAATACCACTATCGCCTTCTACTGGTGAGCCTCGTGGTTGGAAGGGGGAGGAGGGGGGAGTGTGGGGGGTAGGTAGGAGATGGGTAGGAGTCGCTCATCTGCCTGCTGCACCGCTTCCATGGCTCCCCGGTTCCTGTGATCTACTTTTGAGTCGACTCAAGATGACTTCTGAGTCCACCCAACAGTCGCTCATCTGCCTGCTGCACCGCTTCCATGGCTCCCCTGTTTTTGAGTCGACTCAAAAGCAGGCTCATCACACACGGTTCCCGTGCCCGTGGGGCAGCAGGAGCACGTGCTGCACTGGCCTGCCTGCAACGCCACAGTCGCCTTTTACTGGTGAGTCTTGTACTTATGAAAGGGTCTGGAAGGGAAGAGAGAGAGTGGAGTGGAGTGAAGGGCTCGGTTGCCCCTGTGCCCGTGGGGCAGCAGGGGCAGGTGCTGGTGCTCATGGAGCGCCTTTCTCACCAGCAGATCGTCAAACGTCTTTTGAGGCGCCTCAAAGGTAGACCCCATCCGCCCTTCCCCCACCCTCTCCTTTACGTGGCTATCCCACCAGCAGATCGACAGACATTCTTTGAGGCGCCTCAAAGGTAGACCCCGTCCGCCCTTCCTTCCCCCACCCTCTCCTTGGAGCGCCTGTCTCACCAGCCGATCGACAGACATCTTCCAGTGAGGAGCAGTTTTTAGAATCTAGGCTTCAAGCAAGTAGGAAAAACGGTGTAAGAAAGAAACACTAGCTAGTAGCCGAGAGGCTGTGAAACTGGAGGAATTCTCGTCAACAACCCCCCACTCCCGCATGCTCCAGGAGTGCGTACCTCACCGAGGCTTGGGCACTGCCGAGCCACAGGCCTCTCTCAGTGCCGAGCAACAGGCCTCTATCAGTGCCGAGCCACAGGCCTCTCTCAGTGCCGAGGCCTATGGCTCGCAGTGCCAGGAGTGCATATCTCACCGGCCTGTGGCTCGCAGTGCCAGGAGTGCATATCTCACCGGCCTGTGGCTCGCAGTGCCAGGAGTGCACATCTCACCGGCCTGTGGCTCGCAGTGCCAGGAGTGCACATCTCACCGGCCTGTGGCTCGCAGTGCCAGGAGTGCATATCTCACCGGCCTGTGGCTCGCAGTGCCAGGAGTGCATATCCCACCGGCCTGTGGCTCGCAGTGCCAGGAGTGCATATCCCAGTACCCCGCCATTTCCTCCCCCTTCCTCCCCTCCTCCCACCTCCGTCGTGCACGCCAGGAGTGGGTATCTCACCAACGTGTCGCTGACCGTGCCAGGCGAGCACAGCAAGGGCGACTCTCGAGTCAACTCCAAAATCAGCTCTTACTATTCCTCCCTACCTCCCCCTTCCTCCCCCTTCCTCCCCCGTCCTCCCCCTTCCTCCCCCTTCCTCCCCCTTCCTCCCCCTTCCTCCCCCTTCCTCCCCCTTCCTCCCCCTTCCTCCCCCTTCCGCCACCCACCCCTACCTCCCAACTTCAGGAGCGCCTATCTCGCCAACCTGTCGCTGACAGTGCCAGGCGAGCACAGCAAGGGCGGCCAGCTGGACCTGAGCCACGTGGACATGCACTGGGGCCGCCACGTGGCAGAGCATGACGCGTTCGTGATCAACACAGGTAGTCTGACAAACACGCTGCCAACCAGACCAGAGGCCCTGTCAGGGGCACCTGTAAACAAACCACTTGCCTCAAAACAACTCTTGTATCACGTGATCAACACAGGTAGTCTGACTAACACACTGCCAACCAGAGACCCTGTCAGGGGCAGGGGCACCTGCAAACCACTTGCTAGCTTCTTGTGAACTGGGCTGGGCTGCTCAGGAATGTGACAATTAAAACAATGTGGAAAAACTGTTGTGTTTTTTCCACCCACGGTCTCAGCCTGTTCCTGCCCGTGATGATTCCTTTCCTCGCCTCCCTCCACTCCACATGCCTCTCCCCATCTTTCTCCCCATTTCGCCCCCCATCCCACTCCCCGTTTCTCTCCCATGTCTCCCTCTCCACATTTCCCACAACCCACTGGTGGCCGCCCGTGTCATTACCTCTCCCCGTCTCTCTCCATCTCTCTCCGTGTCTCTCCCTTTATCACTTTCTGTGTGTCTTCCCATGTCTCTATCCCTTCCCACATATTCCACAGCCCACTGCTGGTCACCCCAGCGCCCCCAGCTAGGAGGCATCCCCTTGTCTCCATGTTCTTGCTCATCTCATTCCCTCTCCCTGTCTCTGACTTCATGTTTCTGTGTCTCTCCCCTGTCCCCCTGCGTCTCCACATTCCCCACAGCCCACTGGTGGTAGCCCCAGCCCCCCCGGCTAGGAGGCATCCCCTTCTCTCCATGTTCCTGCCCATCTCATTACCTCTCCCCGTCTCTCTTCCATCTCTCTCCCTGTATGTGTCGCTCTCTCTCTCGCCACATACCCCACAGCCCACTGGTGGTCACCCCAGCGCCTCTGGCTTCAAAGCATTCCCTTCCCTCGATGCTCCTGACCAAGTCATTCCCTTCCCTCAATGCTCCTGACCAAGTCATTCCCTTCCCTCAATGCTCCTGACCAAGTCATTCCCTTCCCTCAATGCTCCTGACCAAGTCACTCCCTTCCCTCAATGCTCCTGACCAAGTCATTCCCTTCCCTCAATGCTCCTGACCAAGTCATTCCCTTCCCTCAATGCTCCTGACCAAGTCATTCCCTTCCCTCAATGCTCCTGACCAAGTCATTCCCTTCCCTCAATGCTCCTGACCAAGTCATTCCCTTCCCCTATCTCCCCCCACAGCCCACTGGTGGTCACCACAGCGCCTCTGGCTAGGAGGCATCCCTTTTGCTCCACCCTACTCCTCCTTTGCCTCCCCCACCTCCCTCCTCTCTGCCTACCGTACCGCTCTTAACACCGCACTCTCCGCTTTCTCCTCTCCTGAATGTAGTAACAAGCTCGTGGTGGTTACCACCAGCGTGCCTGGCCACAAGGAGTCACCTTCCTCTAATCAATGCTCCTACACTACCCCGCTTAAACCCTCTCTTGACGGGAATCAGACGGTTAAACGTCCGGGTTCGCACATGGACGGGTTCAATGCGGTGGTGAAGGGTGCAGTGGAGGATTACAGGAAGGCGAGGGGGAGGAGGGGTTGGGTGGGGGCGGATGCGATGGTTTTGGATATTCATGCGGCGTCTGTGTGGCGACAGGATGGGCACCCGGGGGTGTATACGGGATCGAGTACGGTGGATTGCGGGCACTATTGCTTGCCTGGTGTGCCTGATGCTTGGAACGAGATGTTGTTGGGCCAGCTGTGGCTGAAAGCAAGGGAATAAGGCATGTATGTACGGTACATATACTTTGTGCAATTATGTAATATACCACGAGTCGAATCTTTGCAAGAATTAGGTGCTTGACCTCTCACTGCAGTTAGATATATACAGCGGTGAATCTACCATTTACTCAGATGATTAAGACGAGCACCTACTTTCATAGTTTGATCTAACCTAAACTATGGCGAGTTCATGCTCTCTATGGTGAGTTTAACTTATCGCACCCCACCGCATCCCACCACCACACCAACAATCCAGCTCGCTTCACCAACCGCCCACTACCTGTCGCAGCCACACTCTGCCCTCTTGTTCCACCTGTTGGTCTTCTTCGCCCACCCTCGCTTCTCCACACCGAATCAGCGCAGCGCCCACGCAACCAGGCGAATCAGAGCGCAGCAATATCGACCTTGATGTCGATCCCGTGACGCGCTTCCATTGGCCAATGTCCCAACCCAAGCATGCACAGCCAGCCAGTTCCACAATCTGCGAGTCGCATGTGCACATCGAGCTGTCGTGTGGGGGAAATTGGCCCCGCCCCACACCAACCATATCATGCCATACCATACCACCACGCCATACTAGTGATGAGTGTGGGCTGAAAATCACCCCAACCCATTCCAACCCGCTGACCATGATAAGCAAAAGTCGGCAAACCACCATAGATTTGAAAGACATCGTGTGTTGTTCGTTCAAATAAATCTGCGGACCGATTGCGGGTTCTCCTTTCAGAACTGGCAGCAAGCATCGCACTGATTAGGTCGCTAGTGTGCGTCTGGCTCCTAACGCGCCGTTCCATAATTCTATGATAAGCATAAACGCGTCGGTTCCCCTAGTTCACTGGTAGCCGAATGTGAAGAGAGGATACCTCTTCAGAGGATACTTCAATTCGCACAAATGGCGCACGTTTTTCATCGTTCCGATGCCGTACTAACATCACAAGTACTCCTATTAGCGCTCGTCATTTCGCTCTTGAGATTCACCGAAGCATCATCCACACCCTTCTCCCTCACCTCCTTCCTCGAGTCCTTCACCACATCGCACACCAGCGAATCCACTCAAGACCGCACAGAAACCCTCTCCGGCTCCTCTCACCACCACGTCGCGAGGCGGCGTCTAGCTGGCATCACGGGATTGGTCAAGAATATCGAGCGGGTCGAGCAGGCGGTGTTCGAGCCGCAGCCGATTCAACGGCCGCCACTCCCAAGCGCCGTCGGGCGCGTCGAGCTTTACATCGATGACGGCATGGCTGTAGATGGCGCGGATGCCGCCGACAACGTCATGCTCTCACGCGCTTCGCCGGAGGGCGCCACGGGACCCGCTCTTCTTCCGTTGGACGACAATCTGGTAACCGACGTTTCGCCCGTCGCGAAGAAGCGGGTGTTGGAGCGGTCGTCGCAGGGGGACGCGGGTGGTAGTACCGGCAATCCCAAGGAGCGCACGAGCTGCTCCATGGAACGCGGCTCGTGGCAGGTGGATCCCACGTGGCCGCTGTACGACGCCACGTGTCCGTTCATCTACCCGAATCAAAACTGCGTGAAAAACGGCCGGCCGGACCGCGTGTTTGAGCGCGTCCGATGGACGACACCGGGCTGCCCGCTTCCCACGCTGACAAAGCGCACCCTCTGCAGCCTGGTCGCGGGAAAGAGCATCGCATTCATAGGCGATTCCGTCACGCGCAACACGTTCGAGTCGCTCGCGTGTCTCATGTACGGATTCTACGGGATGCCGGAGGATCTGGCGGGGATCAACATGTCGTACGGGCTGGAACGCGGGTTCGTGTGGCCGTCGTGTAACTTCACCCTCGCGTTCTATCGCACGAATTTCATGGTGCAGTTGACGCTGGAAGATCCCAGCAAGCCCAAGGGAGGCGGCGTGATGGATTTAAACAAGCCGGACGAGCGATGGATGAGGCGACTGGATCAACACGATATCTTCGTTATAAACACAGATGAGGGAAAAGGATGTGTCTATGCCTATGATATATGATACTCATCACGTTCATTGCCTAATACTACTGGAAAATCCCTCATACAACCACTTCTGTATGCTGTTAGCTGATCATTGTGTGATGTGGTGTGGAGATTTGACCCTTGCTAATCTGTACTTTGTCCTCCTGTCTCCCATCTCCGCCACGTGTCCACAGGTCACTGGTGGACCGAGCAGAAGATCCACGGCTCTGGCTTCCGCTTTGCGCCGCCCCACCAGAATCTGTCCGTCGCCGAGGGGTTCCAGAAGGCTTGGGAGATGACACTGAAGGTCTTTAAGACCGACCGCATGCGTGGCAAGGTGCTAGTTGTTCCTACTAATTCAGCGACCCATTTCACGGGCCAGGGCTTTAAGAGCGAATGCCCGCACACGGCTCCTATGAACGCCACGGGGTTCCTAAATGATAGGTTTATTAGGAACTACATGACGATGGAGCCTTATAATGGGGTCATGAGGAAGCTTGTATCGCGGATGCATGGGAAGGAGAGGGCGGAGGGGAGAATGCAAGGGGCGAAGGTGGTGCTGCTGGATCAGGCTCGGCCGACCCTGTTCCGAAGCGACGGGCATCCGGGAAGATGGGCGCTCCTGCCCAATGGGGTGAGGGACTGCGGACATTTCTGTCTGCCCGGCGTGCCTGACGTGTGGAATGAGATGATGCTGCAGCGGCTGTGGGTGCTGGATGAAGCACTGCGGGATTGAGGGCAGGCGACTGGGGAATGGAGTGAATGTCTACAGAGTTGCATTGCATCACAGGTCATCCATTAAAAAACGTATTGGTTTCATGCCCTCCATATGAGGGCTTCTTAATAAAGCATGTGCCATGCGGGCATGGGTCCATTTGTAGGAGACCAAGAAGGACCAGCCATGGCTGTGTCGATTGTGCAAGTGATTGCCTCTACATGATGAAGCGGGATGGGCTTCTCTTATCTCTGCTCCAAATATTGTTACCATTATGTTCATTGTTGTGTTAATTTGTAGTACCTTTATCATGCAAATGTGAACTACAGTCAATATAATCCCTGGCAGCTGGATGCAATGTGTGTGCGTTCATACACATCTGGCACCACGCATACAACGCCCTCTCTGCGCCGCCACTGGCGGTTGCTTGTCCCAGGACATGCGGTAACACTCACAATGACATGGAGGTCGTGGGACGCATGCCATTTCCATTGGGATGAGATTGTTGACATGTTAGGCGAGGGGAGGGTGAGATGGATGTGAGGCCAAACCAAACAACCAGTCGGCTGAGAATTTGGTGTGTTTGCAGTAAGTTTGGTCTGTTTAGTACCTTGCTGAAGGTTTGGAGGGAATTATGTGAAGGTAGCACGTTAGTTACACGCACACCACACCACAGTCCACTTGGCATGATGCCAAACCTGTACGAAAGAGAACTCCTTGGCTTCGTTTACAAATCAAGATGTTTAGAATATTGACGTGGATGCCAACAGATCTCAGCAGATGGCACGCACAATGATTGAAGTGAAAAATACATATTTTGTCTCGAATGAGCAAAGAGATTACATCATTCAAACCACTCCATGAAAGAAACATGGATCTGTGTGTGATAAGTGCCAGCCAACAAAAGCACGCTGGTATGTGAGTTCATGAACTCCTCATTACGAAACAAAGTGATGACTGCAAGAGCATGTTGTATGCCTGTATGAGATGGTACTGGCATGGTTGTGAGTGAAAGTAAGCTAAACAATTAGCAGCCCATGATTTCACTTATAACATTACCGATCAAGCGTAACGGCCTACCATTTGTGTATCCTACCCATGTGAGTTTGACCCATTTCCCCTCATGCGCCTCGCTGCCACACTTTCCCCCACATGCACATCTGTGTGCGTAGAAAGCTCAGGTTGTTCGCCACTCCTCTCGAATGCAATTTTCGCCACCCCACAGTCCCCCTCCCCCGTGGCGACTCGACCTGGTCATTCGCGAAAACAGGGTCCACACCAGCCGCATCGACAGCTGGTAACGAATTCAGTGGCCCCTCCATCTACTCGCTGACCACTTCAAGGGGTCTCACGAAATGGTTTCGCATACTGTCGCCGCTCTCGCAAGTACCACCAGCTGGTTGGGTTGAATTGAAGCCCAATGTCGCCATGCGCCATGGGGGAAAATCGTGAGTGTGGAGCTACGTACCCCTCCTTCGCTCTATCCCAAAAGCGACAAACACTCGTAGCCCAGCCGAGGTATCCTTGTGCAAAAAGCTCCACCCAACTCTGTACCAACTTCCAACTTCCGTCTTCCTCCTCTTACATCCTGCGCTAATCGTAGCTTGTCCCTCCTCGGTAGCTTATTCCGGGCAACCACTCACTCCTGGTACTTCTAGTAAGCAGTACGCACCGTCACAATGACCGTAATCAGACCGCATCGTGCTCCACACCATGCAACACGTCACGCACCAATCGCGACTCTCCTCGTCGTCATCGTGCTCGCCCTAAAATCACACGCTGCCAGTTTCACGAAAAGTCGACCAGCCACCGACAGCCCCCGCGGCAGAAAACTAGGAGAGATGCCGACTCCGCGCCCCGCAGATCCACGTCGCGCCGCGCCGTCGCGCAGTAGAGGCTTGCACGAGCTGGGCGTGCGGGAGCAGGAGACGCTCCTATCGGGAACCATCATTATCGAGCAACCGGAATCCGCCATCGGCGCGGTCGAGATATACGTCGACGACGGCATGCACGCCGAAGCTCGCAGTCGCAACGCAGTCGCCGCTAGTCGCAGCGCTGTCGCCAATGATCGCCTCTCTTCAAAACCTGCCGCAAAGGTTCCCAATTTCCCAACTGCCGCTTCCACCAGCTCGTTCGATTCCCGCGCGACTCCCGCTTCCCGCTCCCTCGACCTTTCCGCGATCGCCGCGGAGGCGAGCGACAATGCGGCTGGTGCAGCAGTGGGATCTGACGACGTGTCAACGACGTGCGACATCAGCGACGGGATGTGGGAGTCGGATGCTAACCGACCGCTGTATTCCAGTCTCGACTGCCCGTTTATTCACGCTGCGACGCAGTGCGACGCGCACGGGCGACCGGATAAAGGGTACCAGAAGCTCCGGTGGCGACCGACGCGCGATAATGCGACGGCCGGCTACGGTGCGACGGCGGCGGGCGGCGGGTGCGACGCGATGCCACAACTAACGGCGAAGAGCGCGTGCGACCTGATGCGAAACAGGAACGTCGCTTACGTGGGAGACTCGATCGTACGGAACCATTTCAACTCGCTCGCGTGTATCATGTTCGGTACGCGAGGCGAACCCGAGGTCCTGGGCAGCCATCCGTACGCGCAAGTGTACCACTGGCCGAGTTGTAACGCCACGGTGGCGTTCTATTGGAGTCACTACCTCGTGAACCTCACTCTAATCGACGAGCACGTGTTCAACACGGGCGGCGAGCTCGACCTAGAGAATCCCGACGACTGGTGGTTCCGGCACTATAACGAACACGATATATTTGTTATAAGTGCGGGGCAGTGGTGGTCGTCGGTGCGCATCCAGGGGAAGAACATCCACTTCGCGAGCCCGAACGCCGACGTGCCGCTATTTGATGCGTACCGGACCGCGCTTTTCTCCGTCCTCCGCCCGTTCGAGGACGTTAGCAGTACCGGCAAGCAGGTAGTTCTGACGCTCGTGCCGCCCACGCACGGGTTCCACGGCAGCTGTTCGGCCACGCAGCCGGTTAGCGCGGAGGACGCGCTTTCCAAGGATTATCCCGAGGCGAAGTACAACGTCCTTCTCGCTGACGTGGCGCGGCGGTACGAGGCGCGGCGGGCGAAGCGCGGGAACGGCGCGCCGCTGATGCTTCTGGACATTTTTGGGATGTCGTTAACGCGGTGGGACGGGCACCCCGGGGAGCATTCCGGCGGGGGTAACATTGACTGCGGGCACTACTGCTTGCCAGGGGTGCCGGACTCGTGGAACGAAATGATGCTGGGACTGCTGTGGCTGCAGGACGGGCGAGGGAGAGCGGGGGCAGCGGGAGGAGTGAGAGGAGGGAGAGTTAGATGAGTGGAGGCGGTGGGTGGATGGATGTGAGGAGGTTACGAGAGGAGGGGTGGGGGGAAGTTGGAGAGGGGGAGCTGACTGGAGGGATGATAGGGCTGAATGAGCTCCTCTGCAGGCGGTGGAGCTGAGAAAAGAGCATGGGGCTTGGAGACTGAATGCTCACACCAGAAAGCATGGCCTTCATGCATCTTCTGAAAAAATAAGTTGTGGCAATGCGCTGTGTTTGGGAGGGGATGGTCTGTTGTAGGATTCCAACCAGTCTCTATATGCAATTGAATAATGCCACATGTAATAACGCATAGACGCTAATAAGAATGCTACATGTACCCTACAGCGGCTTTCACACATGTGTAACTCAGAAGTTTCCTAGAGTTGCTTTTTAGCGCGAATGCAGAATTCCGAATTCCAACCACTGCAATTCCGCGTTAGGGCGTGTCCAGCGCGTACATTTACAGCTCATAAAGCCATACAGTTACCACATTTGGAGTTGTAACACTGTGATTTACAGAATGCGTGGACACGACCAAATTTTGTGTAGGAGACGGTACGCCAGCTGCACGTACCTCGCGTCGTGTGACGCACGTAACTGCACGCAGCATGCGCGCGTACTAGGGTACAAAACCGCGTCCAGCCCGCTACAGTAAGTACCCCCCTGTATGGCTGGCACGATTTCGCCAGTGCCGCGCGACACTCGCCGAAACCACCTGCGCTCTGGCCTACAACATTGCACGGCAGACCAAATTCCCAGCCCACCACCAAGTGAAAAATTACCAACCCAGCACAACACGCCGACACAAACAAAGTAAACTCGAATCCTACCCAGCGCATTCGACGGGCAAGCATGCGCAATGACGCTCATGTCTGCCGAAGCGCCCGTCACATACGGCGGGTCTCGCTCTTAATGGCCACGATCATACGGCGACTCGTTCTAAGTCGCGCGCTAACGTGCCCCAAGCAGAAATGCATCGACTTGTTTTTCTCCCTCAACAAATCACTACTTAAACGAGGCACCTCGTGTTGCAATACCCCAGTCTTACAAACTTGATCACACTAGTTGCTGAGTTTACAATCCGTCCTGAATCCACTATCTACCGCCAACTTTCAACATCCTTCGCTATGGAGCACAACAACAACCAGATCGGGACTGAAGAGTCCACTGCACCTGCCCTTCCAACCACTACCGCCTCCCCCTCCCTTGTTAGTGCCGCTGCTGGAAATCTGCAGGTAGCCCAGAGCGACCACAACGCAGGCGACCTCGACCTTTCTCCTGATGGTGGGCCCGTTGTTGATGATTCTGGCGATGCAGGGGTCCCGCTCGTCCGCTCTCCAGCTGTTACTAATCCGAGGGACGATCCCACTAGCCCGCGTGTGCACTGGACGGCCACAGAGATGCTTCAGCTGGTGCAGGCCAGAGTCGACCTGGATCCTGACTGGGATCTCATGCGCGGAGTTCAAGGTGCCAACTACTGGGCTGCACTCCACACGCTGGTGCTTGAGCGCCATCCCCGTTTCCGCTTCAGCCGAGGGGCGATCAAAATCAAAATGTTGAGGATCGAGGCGCAGTACAAACAGCTCCGCGACAGGCTGTCTCGCTCTGGCGCCGGTGCAATCCGCTACTTCCCTTCCTGGTACGGACTGATGGAGACAATCCGTGGCAATCGCCCTGGAGTCCAGCCCATCCACCGTGTGACTGCTGCGATGATAACCACTCCTACTCCCCTACCAGTTCCTACCCCAACAGCCGTGACGCACGTTGGTCCTATTCGTGCAAGGCCTGCTGTTCTAGCATCTACTACCACCACCATCCCAAGTGTGGATGCCACCATCCGTGCTGCAACGACTGGTGGATCGGGACGGAACACGCGCACTCCATCTACGGATGTGAACTCCCCGGTTACGCCAAGCGGGCCTGTTTCACGCACGCCTACCCCACACACTCCTACTACGGCGGTGGTGACTTCAGTAACCACAACTAATCAGCCCACCGCACCGCCGTCTGGCACTGGTTCGCCATCCACGCCATCACCTTCCGTTCCCACCGCGTCCCCCTCGACCTCCGCGGGTGGGACGGGGACGCCTCCTGCAGGGGGATCACCAACACAGAGCAATGGTCGGTCAACGGCAGGCTTGATTGGTGTTGGCCCGGAGGCTGCAATTGCCACGGTCATGGCGGAAAGCATCGCAAGCGCCATAAACAGTGCTGTGGACCGTGCATGCGATAGGTTTGAGAGCCTTACCCGGTCGTTGGTCGGGTCATGGCCGGGTGAGTCCGAGCCCAGGATGAATGGAGGCCATGGGCCAACCGATCACGACGGAGAGCTGGAGTAAACGCGGCCGTATCAGGCGTGGTGTGGACTGCTTCGGCTGCCGGACCTTCAAGCCACCAACGGTGTCCTTCGCGAGGGGCACCGGCGCGAGGGCGGCTGCTCAGCGTGTTCTCCAGATTGTGTAACACCACGCATGCCCCCACGGTCCGGGGCACCTTACGGATGTTGGCCTCCATGCGCCCGTCAAGAATCCGCCATTTCCCTTTCAGCCTTCCGTTTGTTTGCTCGACGATCATGCGCTCGCGACTCTGCTGCTTATTCCATGTTGTCTCTTCGTCTGTGAGTAGGTTTGTAGTCCTGTCTACTTTGTAGGGAGTGAATGTGTAGTCTCGTAGTCCGTAAGCTGCATCAGCAACAAGGCAATAGCCATGTAGCTCCCCTCCTTCAATGCGAGCACAAGCTTCACTATTGTTCCACACACGCGCATCATTCACACTCCCAGGCCAGCCCACATCGAAATCCCAGATGTCACCATGAGCATCGACGATAAGCTGAAGAATGACGCTGTAAAACCCCTTACGGTTCTGAAAGTCGGCGCGGTGTTCCCCGAATCCGCGTACCTTGATGAATGTCCCATCCAGCGCACCTACAACGCCCGGAATTCCGCCAAGCCTCTGGAATTCACGGGCCATAGCAGGCATGTCATCCAAGTCAGGCCACTTGACCCAATCGGGACCTAACATTTTGAGAACAAAGTCCTCAAACTCGTCACATATGGTAACAGCGGCGCTCCTACTCACTCCAAAGTGCAAACCGCACATGCGATAACTCCATGCATGCGCAAGGCGTGACAGACCCAAGGCGACACGGAGCTCATGTGTGTAGTTCAACGTTGACTTCCGCGGACGAGCTATGAGCCACTCCTGAACGATGAAATTGAACACGTGTTTCTCGACACGAAACATGGCGATGTACAGGTCGTCTGAGAACTCGTTCAGCAGCGTCTGCCACCTTGCTCGCACACTAGCGCGATCACGAAGGATTCCTTCTTCCCGCATAGCAGCAGCAACAGAATTCACCAGAGCGGGCAGTAGAGATGCGAGCACATTGCCAATAGGGGCGATGACACATGCGACGAGGCCTTGGTGCGCTAAATTAACTATACGAATTGTTCTTGCTGCCATGATGGGCATCGCTGAGAGAGATAGTTGCCAAATCAGAACGCATCGTATTATAGATGCATGTCTGGCCGTTTGCTATTAATTGCGAAGTGAGTTTGGCTGACGGGAGCGCATGGGAGGGATGGAATGCCCTCCTAGGATTTGGGTTGGTTTGATGGGAGCGCATGGGAGGGATGCAATGCCCGGAATTTGTGTTGATTTGACGGAGCGCATGGGAGGGCTGGAGTGCCCTCCAGGTGTTTTGTATGTTTGTCGTTTGCGCATGGGAGGGATTGTGTGCCCTCCCAATGTTGTGTGTGTTTCAATGCAGGTCGCATGGGCGGGCTGGATGCCCGCCAGGTTGTTTTGGTGTGCGGCTCGCTCGGTCGTGGAAAGTTCGACCGAGCGAAAATGCCAGCCCTGTCATTCACGAGGAAACCAGTTACCTAGGTTTCCAGCTGGTGCAGGCACTGTTGAAGAATGTGTGGGGGGAATTGTGTCCGCGCGCTAGACATTACAGGAGGAATGGACTCTGCTCACGGGGCATTCGTTTTTAGGTACAGTGATACGTTTTGAACCTCCATACGTGTATGGGCACGTAAAACCCCAAAATGTACGCGCTGGACACCCCCTTACCCGAGAAACTGCAGTTCCCGAGGTTCCACATCACACCATGGCTTCCTTGTGCATGACGCTACTTGCAGGCTCGCTCGTTATTCCGCTACTGATCTGCCATGCCTTATAGGGGTTTACAGCTAAGGCTATAGTCTTGGTTTGACGCGAGAAGCAACAGCTCCTGGCTCTTACAGCGACACTCCTTAAGGCCAGAAGCTGCAGTCCCTGACGCAAGCAGCAGCGAGACTCCCTCACACTAACAGTGACACTCCCTTAGCCATCAGCGCGTCGATGGCCCTGTTCAGCTCGGGTGTACCGCTGCAAGGAGGAGGGGTAAGACGTACGGGTGGGGTGCCGGGTGTAAGTGGTAGGGAGCAAGGGGATAAGAGGCAAGGGTAGGGTGCGGGGGCTAGGGTGACGCCAGCTGCAACGCTCCGTAAGGCTAGCAGTGCGCCGATGGCCTTGTTCAGCTCAGGTTCACCGCTGCAAGGAGGTTGGGTAAGACGTTCGAGCAGGGCGAGGGGGAGTAAGCGGCACGGGTACGGGTAGGGCTACGGGTTGGGCCATGGACAGAAGCGCGCCGATGGCTATGTTCAGCTCGGGTGTACCGCTGCAAGCGGGGGGGTTAAGCCGTACGGGTAGGGTGCAGGGGGGTACGAAGCTGGGGTAGGGTGCAGTCAGGGGGGTAAGACGTCCTCCTTTGCCGCCCTCACCTCCCTCACCGCCCTCACCTCCCTCACCGCCCTCACCGCCCTCACCTCCCTTACCCTCGTCCCTCCCTCTCGCCTCTCAGGTGGGGCTTCAGATCCTCCTGGCCGCCAGCTCATCGTCGATCGTCATCCGAGCTGCCAAGTATGAATCTCCTTTCCCTTCCTCCTCCCTTCTCCTCCTTCCACGCCCCTCCCCCACTTCTCCTCCTTTCAGTTCGCCTCCTTCGATTTCCCTCCTTGTGCCGTCAATCATCATCTCCCCTCTTGGCCCGCCTCTCTCCCCTCTTGGGCCGCCTCTCTCCCCTCCTCCAACTTTTCGCCTTTGTTTTTTCGTTACCCCTCTTGTCCCCGCTATTTCCCTCACTGTCGTGCCCTGTTGTTTCCCTCACTGTCGTGCCCTGTTGTTTCCCTCACTGTCGTGCCCTGTTGTTTCCCTCACTGTCGTGCCCTGTTGTTTCCCTTTCTGTCGTTCCCACCAGTCTGGTGGTGGGCGTGGGCTTTCCAGTCTTCCGCTCGTTCAAGGCCATTGGGAAGGGCTTACACGCAGTATACTCACCTCCCCCCCTGTTAACCTCTTCCATTCCCAACCCACACCAGTCTGGTGGTGGGCGTGGGCTTTCCAGTCTTCCGCTCGTTCAAGGCCATTGGGAAGGGCTTACACGCAGTATACTCACCTCCCCCCCTGTTAACCTCTTCCATTCCCAACCCACACCAGTCTGGTGGTGGGCGTGGGCTTTCCAGTCTTCCGCTCGTTCAAGGCCATTGGGAAGGGCTTACACGCAGTATACTCACCTCCCCCCCTGTTAACCTCTTCCATTCCCAACCCACACCAGTCTGGTGGTGGGCGTGGGCTTTCCGGTCTTCCGCTCGTTCAAAGCCATCGAGGAGGGCTCTCAGGCGGACCGCAACAGATGCCTTGCGTACTGGTCGGGTGAGTGGTGTGGTGGTGCAGTGGTGAGGATGGTGCAGTGAGTGGTGAGGGTGGTGGGGTGTTGAGAATTCTGGCGCTAGTGAGTGTCCCTTTATGTGGCCCTCTCATGCAGTTGCAGTAGCAGTAGCAGTTTGAGTTTCAGTTGCAGTTTCAGTTGCGGTTGCAACTGCTTACCTCCCATGACATTTAATGCCACGGCGCCAAATGCGACTCTTCTTTCCTTGTGCATATTCACAAACATGGCACTACATCATGGCATGATGGCATGATGGCATGATGGCATGATGGCATGATGGCATGATGGCATGATGGCATGATGGCATGATGGCATGGATGGCATGGATGGCATGGATGGCAGTGTACGGTTGCTTTCGGGTAGTGGAGACAATCACCGACAGGATCATATCGTGGTGAGTCATACGACCATACCTCTTCCATACCTCGTTTTACCTCTTCCCTCACTCCTATCACCCTCTTGATTCCCCTGGTTCTTGTCCTTTTCTCTCCCCAACACCCCCCCTTTCCCTCCCCCCCCTCCTTCCCCCTTTCTCCTCCCCCGCTTTTTCCTGCCTCTCTCTATGTGTAATCGCTATTTGAAATTCAATGTTCCACCACTCTCGCACCCCCTTCCCACCCCCACCCCTCCCCCCCTCTCCTCCCCCTCCCCGCCCTTCTGTTTCCTCGCCTCGTACTCACCGCACCTGACGCTGATAAAAGCATCCACTGCCCTCCTCGTCTTCCGTTCCCACCACATCGTGCCTTCCACTTCTTCCTCCCGTCCCCGCCTCTCCCCCCCTCAAGGCTACCTTTCTACCAGCACATCAAGCCCTCATTTGAGCACATCTCGCCTTCCGTACCCCCCGTCTCTCACCCCCACGCTGCCCTTCTACCAGCACATCAAGCTGCTCCTGCTGCTCTGCCTGCATGTGCACTGGCACCAGCTTACACTGCCCTCTTCCCATCCCACGCCCCTTTCCCGCCTAGGCTGCCCTTCTATCAGCACATCAAGCTGCTCCTCTTGCTCTGGCTGTGTACGCATTGACACTAGCTCACCCTGACCTTCTCTTCTTCCCATCCCACGCCCCTTTCCCGCCTAGGCTACCCTTCTATCAGCACATCAAGCTGCTGCTGCTGCTCTGGCTGCAGCTGCCCTCCACCTCCTCCTCCCGCCCAGCCACGGTAATCAACCCCACTCCTCTCTCTCCTCTGTCCTCTCGCTTTTGAGGCGCCTCAAAAGTGCACCTCGCTCCTTCCCTCCCTCCTTCCTCACCTTCTTATTCCTGCACCTTCCCATCTGCCACTCCCTCTTGCTTGCTTCCTCGCCCTGTCACTAGCCTTACCACACCTCCTCATCTTGGTTCTTCTTTAGCTCAAATAACTCTTGTGCAAGCCTCACCTCCTCAGTACACCTCGCTTCTAACATTCTCCTGGTTTCTATCTTGGTACTTTCCTGCTCTTGTCCCGGTGATTCCCCTGGTATTGTACGTTTTTCTCCTCATATTCTTTCAGTATTTTCCATATTTTTTCCGATGTTCTCCTGAACATACTGTTGTCGGCCGTCTGACACCATGCTATCATGCCACCACGCCCTAACCACTGTTGACCATTCCAACATCCACCAACCGTGCCCCGCCGCACGTAACCGCACAACACTGCAGGGGGCAGGGCGGCTGTACGCTAGTCACCTGAGGCCCGTGCTGCTGCGCTACCGGCGGCACATTGACGGGGCGCTTGTTAGCATCGACCGCTGCATGGTATGTGCTGCCAGCCCGCTGGTATATGGTCTGAGAAAAACCCGCTAGATGGTCCAGGCTGGGAACGGCGTGCTGCTGCACTACCAGCGGCACATGGACGGGGCGCTTGTTAGCATCGACCGCTGCATGGTATTCCCTTTTTAGCTTAGTAACCAGCTTGGTAGGGTCATGGTAGGGACGAGCTTGCTGCTGCACTACTGGCGGCACTTGGACAGGGCGCATCGACCGCTGCATGGTATGCCATTCTTGACTCAAACATGTTGTAATGAGCATTCACCACTGCTATGCTGCTCCTGCCACCTCATCTCTCCGCCTTGTCCGCCACCGAATTCTCATCGTCAGCAGAGTATGTAACATCGATCCAGGACGCATACCCAAATGGAAGATAAGTTGCTTTTTGCTCACGAAAAAACTCACAATAATCGCCCCATCGTCCCCTCCCCCTTCCACACCCTCCTTCAGGCCTCCTAGTTCCACGCACACCAGGAGCACCTCTCTGCTGCACCTCATCTCATCCCCCTCGTGCGGTCCCCTCCCCCTCGCCCCTGTTTTTCTCCCCCTCCTCCCTCCCCTCAGCATCCTGGTTCCGCGCCCACCAGGAGGAGCTCTCCGCTGCACCTTCTTCCATCGCAACCCTTATCCCACACCACACCTCACCCCCTCTCATCCTTCACCTCATGCATCCTCTTCGATCTCACTCTTACCCTCCTCCCCACTCACCCCTCCCCCTTCCTCTAGGCATCTGGATTCCACGCCCATCAGGAGGAGGAGCTCTCTGCTGCACCTTCTTCCATCACCCCCCTTATCCCACACCATTCACCCCCACCTTCTTCCACTTCCCCGCCCCTCAGGCGTCCTAGTTCCACGCCCACCAGGAGCAGCTCTCTGCCGCACCTCATCTCATCCTCCTTGCGCCGTCACCTCCCCCTCGCCCTCCTTTTCTCCCCCTCCTCTCTCCCCTCAGGCATCCTGGTTCCACGCCCATCAGGAGGAGCTCTCTGCTGCACCTTCTTCTGCCGCACCCCTTATTCGTCCCATCCTACCTATTTGTCCTCCATTACCCCCTCCTTATTTCCCCATCCTCCCTCCCTCAAACGTCCTGGTTCCACACACACCAGGAGGAGCTCTCTGCAGCACCTCATTCAATTCTCCTCACGCCATCCCCTCCCCTTCGGCCCCCTTCTCTCTCCCTACTCCCTCCCTCAGGCGTCCTGGTTCCACGCACACCAGGAGGAGCTCTCTGCTGCAGCACGCATGGCCCAGTCTGCTACCAGGGCAGGTAATATTGGGGCAGGTACTACTCGGGCAGGTACTACTGGGGTAGGCACTATTGGTGCAGGTACTGCTGGGGCAGGTACTACCGGGGCAGGTATCACCAGCGCAGGTACTTCCAGGGCCGATGTCACTGGGGCAGGTACCAGATATCAATTTCAGCCTGCTTTTGGGGACAAGAATGCACAGGGCACGGGCAGTTCCTGTGAGTGTAATGAAACAGACAGAGGACATGGTGTTCCATGCTGCAGGGTGCAAGGTGTCGACAGTTAAGGATGGTGGTGTCTGGTCATGGCGGTGAGGTGCCACTGTGGTTCCATTTCAGCCTGCTTGCCTCTCCTGTTTGCACCCCTGTCTTCCCCTCACCTTTACCCCCCAGCACTTCTGCTTTGGACTCTGCGGTATCTACAGCTGCTGCTGCCTTCCCACCCGCTGCTGCTGATGGCCCTTTTGCTTTGACTCAAACGTCGCCCCTGCTCTCCCCCTCACTTCCCCCCCCACTGTCCCCTCACCCCAATCCTTCCAGCACTTACTGCTCTCGATTCCGCAGTCTCCACAGCTGCTGCTGCCCTCCCACCCGCTGCTGCTGATGGCCCTCCTGCTGCCACGTCAGCGGCAGATGCTGATGCCAGGAATGATGTCACCAATGATCTCAGCCGAGCCAACAGGGGCGGTGAGCTACATGACGTGGCAGGTGGAGGGGAGCCAGGGGAGGAAGGAGATGGGGGAGGGGGAGGCGGGTTGGGGGGAGGGAGAAGGTGAGGGAGGTTACTGGAGCTCAGGGGATTAGGGACGAGGAAAGGTGATTCATGGATGAATTTGAGTACCTGTAGCAGTAATGGGAGGTTGCACGATAGTTGTCTAGTCCTTTTGCTGAAGGGACACGGTAAGGCTACTTTCCGGAGTTCTTGGAGGGGGTTATTGGAGCTCATGGGAGCAGGGACGAGGGGAGATGATTCATGGATGAATTTGAGTAGCTGTATCAGTTGTGGTAGATTGCTCGCTATTTGTATAGTTCTTTTGCTGTAGGGACACCCTAAGGCCTCTTGATTCTTTGTACATAGAGCCATCTATATCTGCTTCACATGTATTTCAATCTGATAAAGATGCAATTCCCTCAATCACGAGATCCTCTGTACACCGCTTTCAAATTTGGTGGGAAGCCACCGAGGGCCCTTGGGATTTGTTTTCTCACCAAGAGCAGCGAGAATAGCAGTCACTGAGCAGCAGCTGCTCAAATCCTCGGTTCTTGTTCCTTGGCTGGAACAAGGGCTGGTAGCAGCTGAAGCAGCGAAGGCAAGGCCTGTTTCACTTGTGCAGCAGCAGCCCCAACTCCGATTCCCTGTCTGGCATCCTCCGCTGTGGCTCACTTCGTTTCCGTCTCACACGTTGCTCCGATGGCTTGTCATCGGCCTTCCACGGAGTTGCGGTGTTGCTTCGCACTCAGCGTCTGCGCGCGAGTAGGCTTCTTCTGCAGTGCAGCCGGAACGAACCTGCTCGGCCGTGTGCCGCCTATGAAGGCTCGTGATTTGCCGCGTCCCCAGGCTTGACGACGATGACTGCAAGGTGTGTTATTTGCGAATGGGGACTCAATATGACTTGCCACGTCGCTCGTGGTTTGCCACGTCGCTCTGTTTTCCGCGAATATTCAAAGATCTGTTGACTGCCGCACCGCACGCTTTCTTCGCACTGTTCTCGTTTCCTTGCCGCTTTATGCAGTCTCTATCGGTTACTCTCACAAGGAGAATTCAAACTAGTTTTCGCGCAACGACTTCTCGTGCCGTCGCTCGAAGCTGCCCGTGCCGTACCCTCGGGTGCGGTGTCGGCGCGGCTCGATAGGTTCGGTTGCGGCCGTATCGCTGCGCGAATAGCGCCCGCCGCCTCCCTGCTTGGGCTGGCGCAGCGACGCGCGCGGGCGGAGCCCCGGCTGCGGCGATGCGGAGGCCTCCTCCGCATCGCCGCGGCCGCGCGAGCTCGCCCGCTGCGCGTCGATTCCCCGTCGCGCCAGCCTCAATGCGGAGGTGCTCATAACGAACTAGACTTCAAATCGAGTCACCCTAGAGCACCCTACAATCTAATGCTCGACAATTTTTCTTGCGCTGGTTGCGATTAAGCCGCCTTATCTCTTCCCTCCGTTCTTGCTTTCGTTCATCTTTGAGTGCAGATTCTCGTTGCACGCTTTCCCGTGACCACGCTTCCTTCTTCGCGTCGCTCTGCTGCGTGGCGCTGCTGCAATGGACGAGGTGAGACCATATGAGAAATAAGGCGAGTCCCATTGCTGGGATAATTGACTTGAGGCCGTATTGCGGAACGCTGTCACTGCCGCCGTGCTCGCAACATGCAGTGCCACGTCAGCGCATGGATGTTCTTCCACGCGGCATGCATTTATCGGTGCCAGCGTGGATTTGAACCGTGCGCATACTGACACACTCGCGCATGCCTCGTGCTTTCGCGCGCGGTGTGGCTGCTCCCCTCCTTGCGCTCCCCGCATCTGCCGCGCGCCTCTTTGGGGGCGCGGGCGGAATCTCGTGCGCTGAGGCTGTTTGTGGGGGAGGCACACTGCAGAGCAATGCAGTGCAATCCCTTTATCCCGCAAAGCATTGCCATGTTCTTTCACGCGCACTATTTGCACCTCGCAGTTCTGATGTTTTGTCGCATTCAACGTGTAGTCGCATGTTTCTGCTGCGAATGACTAATTTCGGTGACGCCTTTCTCAATCTCCCTTCCCTTCCCCTTCGCCTCCCCGCTTCTCTCCCCGCTTCTCTCCCCGCGCCCTCCAGCTTCTCACCCGGCCATTAAATGCCGGCCGACACTAGCCGGCGGAAAACACAACCACCGACACAAAACCGGCCGGCACTAGCCGGCGGACACACGGCCAGCAGTCAGTGTGTACCTGCGCCGCGCCTCGCAGCTCCCAGGTGCGACCTCGTTGATATTCCTGCACAACTCCTCCCTCTCCCCGAACTCACCCCCACCCTTCCCCAACCCACCCCAATGCCCCACCCCTGCCTCTCGTCAGTCTCGCCCGGTTCAAAGCTTTGCTTAGCTCTCGTTCGGCGTCTGAGAATGCTTGGCTTGCCCGCGTCGACTTTTCAGCAGTGGTTCCTACCAGTGCTCCCCTCCCCATAACCCTCTCCCAACCCTTTCCCCGGAACCCCCTTCTCGCAACCCTCTCCCTACAACTAAACGTTCGATACTTCTCAGAATGCTTAGCTTGTCCGCGTCGACTTTTCAGGAGTGGGGCCTTTTAATGCTCCTCTCCCCGTAAATCGGCGCCACATCGTCCCTCCGCGTCCCCTCCCTTTTCCGCCTTCCCCCCAATGGGATCCGCGGTCATGGGGCTAGCGGACATTCCCCCTTCCGCCCTATGCGCCCTCTGCGCCCTTTCCGCCCTCTGCGCACTTAGCGCCTCCCCGCATATCGATGAGTTCCGCTGCTTCTGCTGGGCGCTGCTGCGGGCAGCAGCATAGATAATTTCCGCGCCTCCGCACGGTTCGCCACTTCGCCATTGGCTGATCCGGTCGCTCTTTTCGCTTCTCCCTCCCCGCCCCATTACAACGCGCAACCCGCAGGAGCATGGAAGGCTCGAATCAGCGATCACCTGAACTACAAGAGCCACGTGGGAGTCTCTTCCGTGTAGGAGCCACGTGGATCCGCGCGGGAGGCACGTGGGAGCCGACTGGTGGCGCGCGCGCGGTCCGCACTCTGCTGGCTGCAGCTCACCCTTCGATCCAGGCCGTCGATCTTGGCGTCCGTCGCCGATTCCATCCATGGCGCGCCTCGCGCCGGCGCTCCCTTTGAGGCGCCTCGATAGTCGCACGTGGTTGGTTCGATCTATGGCGCCTCGTCCTAGGGCTCCGTCGAGCCCGCTCGGTAGCGACGCAGGTGCGTGCTAATGTCCTTGTATCGATGACCGTTTCGCGCTCCATTTCGGCAACCCGCCGCGTCCCCATTTCCCGCTCCCCTCTCCCTACTCCCTTCTCCCCACTCCCCACTCCCCTCGGCGCACCACTCGTAGATTGTCGTTTAGCCCAAATCGCGCCGCTGTGAATCGATGGCTTGTCAGTGGTAGCGGGTTTGATGGAGTGGGGTGATGATGATGCTGGGGTGGTTGTGGCAGTGGTGGTGCTGGTGGTGTGGTGGTGCTGGTGGTGATGGGTTGGCGAGGGGGTGATGGTGGTGGTGTCCGGGGCATTACTCTTTCCGAGGCGTGGCAGCAGCGTTGTCTCCCTGCCAGGCCTTATGTTCAGGATGCCCACAGCGCTTGATCCGATCCGATCTTATCTGATAAGATTTGATTTGATTGATTCCTCAAAGCAGCCCAGAGATGCGGGTTGGTTGTGTCACTCGCATCATCGTTGCCTTGGAAGCATTTTTGACTTGCCTTCTCGGAATTGGCTTATTATCTGTGTGCGAGCGAGAGAGCGCCACCATTCCTCATTCGTCTCTGATGGCATGTTCCCCTCTTTGCATGCAGGGTCGTCACCGGGCCTGCCATGCTGCCGAGCCTGCCATGCTGCCGAGCCTCCTGTGGTGCGGTCGCGCGTCCTCGTCCACCGTGCCTGATGGTGGGGCCATGGTGTCGTGACGCGACGTCATCATCATCACATGTAAGTAGCAAGGCCTTTGCCGTCTGTTGCAGCATATGTGCGCCATGGGGATGTGCGCCATGGGGATGTGCGCCATGGGGATTTGAACACAATGCACTAGCACCGTCACCCGCTGCGTGTCCGCATTCGCTGCACATCTCGAACATCTCACATGTCTCACATGTCTCATACATTCCACTGCACATGGCGCCTTATGTCTTCAAAGCGCAGTTCAACCTACTGGCTGTGCTTTTAGTGAAGGGTGCCTACAGCGCTGCCCTGCAGGGGGGTGCCGAGCGATGGGAGCTTTTGAGTGACCCGCAGTGGCATGCCATGGCGGTCCATTTTTCGATAATGGGCTTTTGTCCTCCATGCACCCCTCACATGCTGCCATGCTGCCACGATCACGTGCGGCCATGCTGCGATGCGTCTATGCTCCGATTGTGTTTGCGAGCACGCCAGACCTGAATCCTTTGCACCATCTATTCATTCTGTCCCAATGTTTAACCCTGTGCAGGTACAGCTGCCGTTTGCAGCGCCAAGAAAGCATGAACTGCCACGCTTCACGTGTGTTGATCTCTGCAGTGTGGGTAGCAGTACCCACGCGTGATGAGACGGCTCGGGAGGCGCTTCACAATGACTTGCAGTGGCGAGTAGGCCTGGACCAGCGGACCACTGTACTGCATGTGTTGACCTCTGCAGTGTGGGTGGCTGTACCCACACATGAGACGGCTTGTGAGGAGCCTCACATTACATTGCTGGGTGACTAAGCCCGGACCATCATACTCCATGTGTGGGTGGTTGCACCCAGTCCCCTGCTGTCGCGCCATTACATGTAAGTAGCATGTTACGATGAGCGCAGTCACTGTCACATCACCCCAGTCACATCGCCACCCCTTGGGTATGGCTCCCTGAATTGCCGCGGGTGGGGCGTCTGCCGGTCGCTGACGTGGCAGTTTGCCGCCCCACGCGCTTATGAGGGCAGCCACACCAATGCCTGCCAGCCTGGCTGCTTCTGGAGTGCGGGTCGCTGCTCTGTTGCCCGCACCACCACCATGCGCCAGGCACAGCCTTCATTACATCCTTTTCAGTCACTTCCGAAGAGTCACTTGGCTGCTTCTGGAATGCAGGTTGCTGCTTGGTTGCCTGCACCACCACCATGCGCCAGGCACAGCCCTCACCAAAAGCTTCGCATTCTACTGGCCCAAGTTCCCCTTCCTCGTGTTTCTCCTTCCCAGCCACTTGTTCCTCAGTGCTGTCAAGTCAAATTGGTTGACCGACCTTTCTCTTTTGTTGTTTTCCATTGCCCTTTCCTTACCTGTGCCTCCTCCCTGCTCACAGGCATCCAGAAACTTGACATGCACAAGTGGAGATTTGTTGTAGAATCTATGATGTTTATGTAGTGTGAGGGAATGCATTCAAATGATTAAAGTGCAGCCCTGGAAGCTTTGTTCTAGATTCTCTAAGTTCTCATGGAAATGGTTTCTAGAAGCATAATTATTTGTACGCGATTCACAGTAGTGTACTGTGGCAGTCAACAAACTTCAACAGGGACATTTCTTCGGAGCTTTCGTGTTTGCTGAATCCGCTCGTCAACCGTTTTCAACCAGCTGCCATCCACTCCAAGCCGCTGTGAGAATTTGGTAACGACGCGTGTTACTGTGCTTCGCATCACGCCGCTCTGACCATTGACTCCGAGCTCCAGCGAAAGTTGGCGAGGACAATTTGAATAGTTCTCCCCCACCAGCACAGCACCCACCTGCAATCACCCACCTCCCCCAGCGCCGTCAGGCGGGCCGATTCATGCGTGACGAAAGCAGAATAGCTGGCGAAAGCTGCCGAGCGCAGCTGGCGAAACTGCCGCGGTCCGAGTCAGAGCAGGCATCAGCCGTCGTCATGCCATGCCATGCCATGTTCCATGTTCCATCCACTCGCCTCACCTCCTCAGCAGCGGCATGTGCGTTTGCGCGTCGACGCGTCACCCTAACTGGTCCGCTTTGCCCCCCCCACAAGCTTGCCCCACCCCCCACCGTCCCCTGCAGCAGCGTGTATCTCCTAAAAGTCGGTGGGCTCGTTGGATCTCTGCTGTCCGTTTCTAGAATTCCTGAATTTTGCAAACACGCCCTCACAATCGGTTCCCCGACGTAAAGCATGCTCACTGACCTCTCATCTGCTGCAATCTTTGCAAGACTTGACATTCATGCTCCATGATTACTCTCCCAACCGACACTTCACCATTCCATAGCAGACTAGATTTTATACCTATCCACAGCAGCGCGCCGAGCATGGCGCTAAAAGACAAAGTTGTGTTGAAGATGGGCGACACGATCGTCGACGTGCTGATGGGCCCCGTTTACGTCGAGAGCGTCGTGCGCCATTACCCGAACCACGCGGTCTTTTCGCCCGCCGACGCCAGCAGCGCCTCGCTTTTCGCGAAGCGCGAGGGGCCGCTGCCGCCCGGGCGGGTGCTTAAGCCGGGGCGCTGTTACCACCTCGTGCGGAAGGCGCAAGGGAAGGGCGGGGTTACGGGCGGAGCGGAGTGCGCGCACGCGGATGAAGGCGGGACGGCGGGGCGAAAGCCTCCGCGGGATTTGCGCAAGACTCCTTCCGCCAACGGCAGGAACGAGGTGAGGGTCGAGCGGGTTCCGCAGGTGCTGCTTTGCACTAAACAAACCGTGCGGGCTGCTTCTCGTTCAAAACCGGAGTCTCACAGGTTTCGAAGTTAGGAAGGTTGGTCGAGGAAAGAGCAGCAACTGGCTCGCGAACTAGGGACTGGTGGAAGAAAAAGGAAGCCGAGGGTCGTTGAGTGATGTAGTGGTCGCAAGGGTTACCAGATCCCGACTGCAACTCTTGAACCCCTTCGCGTAGAATTTCGGTTCAGCGGAAAAAAATTGGGCGAAGTCATCACGGCTGTCGTCGTCGCCAGTACAGTAATTCTGGGTTGCGAAATTCGTTCCCACCTTTCGCGAAGTTGGCACTTTCCAACCAGGTTATTCCCAACCAAAGTTAGGAAGGTTGAGGCAGTTTTGGGCTGTTTGGGACTCCAACGCAAATTTGCGCAAGCCTCAAATTGCGCTTCGAACGAAACCTGTGAAAGCCATCAACTCAAGATTCTCGACGAAGCATCGAGCAGAGAGCACGCCACGTTGACGCTAAGCGCGCCGCTATCCTCGTCCAATCGTCGCGCTACCATAAGCACGTCACACTCCCACCCGCCCTCTCCGTCGCCCCGTCCCCCTACAGCGTAACTTATCTCCGCCCTCCGCGCATCCTCATTCCGCCGTTCCGCCATTGGTGCACGTGCCCGCGCGGTCCCCGCCCCGCGTCACTATTCTCGTGAAGCCCCGCCATCGCGTCAATCACAGCACCAGCGCGCTCCCCGACTTTTCCCCCGACGCCTCTCCGCCACACGCGCGCATCTCCGCCGCCGCCGCTCCAGGGCCGTTCGCCACAGGCGCGCACACCCCTGCTCACGCGGATGGCGGAGCGAGCAGGCGGCGCGCGGGAGAGACGGGCGGGATGGCGCCGAACGGGAAGACGGGGGAGAGCCACGCGGGGGACGGACAGGGCGTGGGGCTGGCGGCTTCCCCCGGGCGGCTGATGGTGCCCGCGCTGCGGCGGTCCAGGCGCGGCATGCACCGCCCGTGCAAATCGTTGAGCGGAAGTCCGGAGGAGATAGGGGGACTCGCGGAAGAGGCGTGGGGGGGTGACGACGACGGGGGAAAGGCGCGGGACGGGCGATGGCGCAGCGCGCATGTGACTCCGCTGGGGAGCGCGCACGCGACGCCGCACGGCAGCCCGTATGGCAGCGCGCACGCGAGTCCCTTGCGCGGGTCGCTCCCCTCGTCATGCAGCAAGGCGGCCGCGCCGCTCTACGCCAGCGCGCTGAGGCCCAGGACCGCGGGCGGGGAGCGTAGCGGGGGGAAGGGCGCGGGGGCGGGGGCGAGGGCGGGGAGCAGCCCGCTGACGCGCAGCCACGGGCGCAGGCACTCGGGTGGGGAGGGCGTGGGGGGTGCGGCGGCGCTGGACGCGGTAGAGGCGCTCATTGGCGCGCAGAGGGTGCTGAGCATGGCGGAGGGGGGCAGGGGGAGGAGGGGGGGGGAGGAGGAGGAAGGGGGAGAGATGCGGGGCGAGGGGAAGGCGGAGGGGAAGGGCGGGCAGGGGTGGGCGGAAGCACTGGTGGAGAGGATGAGGCAGCTGAGTCCGCTGAGGGGGAGGAGCCCCTTGAGGGGGAGGAGTCCCATGAGGGGGAGGAGTCCGCAGAGCGGGAGGAGCCCCACGTCCCAGCGCGTGCATGCTGTAGCAGACAGCAGCCCTGGGCGCAGGAGCGGTGGCAGCGGTGACAATATGGGTGGCATGAGTGGCGGTGGCAGTATGGGAGGCATGGGTGTGGGGGCGGAGGGGCAGCGCAGCCCTGACCTGGCACGGCCGCCCTGTGCTGTGCCCAGGAGAAGCAGCTTCAGCCCTCCACGCATGGCGCCTGGCAGCAGTTTCAGCCCGCCGCACATGGACTTTGACCAAGGAGAGCATGCCTGGCAGCACCCTGAACCCAGCCCCCCCATGCTGCACCCCCCCACGCCTGTGCTGTTTCTCACCAGGCCCGCCCACTCTTCTTCCCCTCCTTCCCAGCGCTGCGCCGCGTCCACCACCCCCTCGCAGCACTCTCCCCCCCACGCTGCCGCCCCCTCATACCGCTCTCCTCCTCACGATGACACACTCGGGCGTCACCAGGGGGCCTCCATGAGCCCTCGCCCTGTGAGCCCTTGCCCTGTGAGCGATGTGGAAGGAAGGGGAGAGATGGACACAGAGATGTGGTGTGATGGGGTTGGGAATGAGTGGACGAGGCAGGGGCAGCAGCAGGGGGGGCGCGGGGAGGAGGCGCGCAGTGAGTTGAAGCGCAAGGCACGTGACAAGGGAAGTGAGGGTGACAGGGCCAAGCAGGGGAGCAGGGGCCGTGAAGACAGTGGCAGTGAGGGCAGAGGGCGAGAGCGCAGCCCGCTGAGGCGCCTACTGCACGCCATCTCCCTGGACAGCAAGGGCAGTGACGGCGACAATCCCAAGGAGGAGAGCAGTGGCCATGGGCAGGAGGGCAGAGGCCAGGACCGCAGCCCGCTGAGGCGCCTGCTGCACGCCATTTCCCTGGACGCCCCCTCCCGCCCTGGCAGGCCCAGGCGAGCCGTGGATGACAGCATGGTGGGCAGCAGCAGCAAGGGCAAGGCAGCACACGGAACACAGGGTGTAGCAGCTGCAACAACGGCAGGGGCAGCGGGCACAGCAGCATCAGCAGAAGAGGACATGGAGTGGCAGGCGGCGGTGCAGGCGTTCAGGCGGAGAGTAGAGGTGCTGAACGGGGAGTGCCTGTTCAACTGGTCCACGGTGACAGCCGGCAAGGAGGAGAGGCGCGCCGTGATGTGGAAGCCCGACCTGCCCGACGTGCAGGAGGCGAGTGATGCCGGGTCGTTTGCGGCGCCCATCACACGGCACAAGCGGACACTGTCCGCTCAGATCACCAGCTGGCTGAGCTAGGTTCCCTTTGGAGAGCCGTTGGAAATGTAGCATTGCAAGACAGGTGCAGGGGCACGCTGTCGGATCACTTCAGCAGCTGCCTGAGCTAGGAGCAAATGAATGCAGATTTATGTTAGGAGCCAGAAGTGCATGATATGGGTGCTGTAGGTTCTGTAGGCATACCTTGTCTTTTGCCATTTGCGTTGAGTTTTGATGCAACTACGTAGAACACTCCACGCACTGTCTGCTTGAACTAGAAGTTGGCTTATCTTGAAAAGGACAGATGGTTGAACATACAGAACCGTGCCTGCATAATATTCGAGCAAGTTACGAAGGGTACAAGTTAAGTCCCTACGCTGTAATACTATTCAAGTCCACAAGTTCTAGTGCACTCTAGACCAATTTACCATTGCATTCAGCTATTCTTAAAAAGCAGGGTTCAATGGGTACTGTTTGCCCTGGCTGGGACTTCCTACCTACATCTAGAGGAGCAAGTGCATCAGCTGCAGCCCCACGCCTTGCTAACAGCCAAACCAAAATGGCGCCGCCCTGTGTGCACTTGAGCCAAAATGATTCAACAACTCGCCATCAGGTAAAGGCGCACAGCAGCATGGTTGACGTGCAGGCAGGACCAGGCACACAGCTCACAGCTCACAGCACACAGCACACAGCTCACGAGGCAGCTGCCTGTATCCTGCCTGCCTGTGCTGCCCCCGTTGCAACAGCACCTGCTGCTTCCCCGCCCTGCTGCTGCACGGCTGCCCTCACCTTCGCCTGCAGCACCATCGTTACCTCCTCCAGTAGCTGTCGCTTGGCGCGTGCCACCTGCTCATGGAGGGGTGGGGTGGGATGGGGAGGGGTGTGATGTGTGGTGTGGTGTGGTGCGGTGCAGTGGGGTGTGGTTGGCCTGCAGCACCATCGTCACCTCCTCCAGCAGCTGTGCTTGGCGCGCGCCACCTGCTCATGGAGGGGTGAGGTGGGATGGGGAGGGGTGTAATGTGTGGTCAGGTGCAGTGCAGTGTGGTTGGCCTGCAGCACCATCGTCACCTCCTCCAGCAACTGACTCGCAGCGAGCGCCACCTGCGCAAAGAGAGGGGTGGGGTGAGCGACGAGAAGCGTGGGGAGTGGAATTGAACGACAGTTGAAGTGAAGGGGTGAGAGAGGGAGGTGGGGACTGGATTGGAGAGGGGAAAATGCACCACCCACCATACTGACACAAAGGAGGTGCAGAGGGGGCAGGGAGGGAGGGGGGCCGCACCTCGCTGAACCTGTCGTGGTTGGCTTTAAGCAGCTCCGCTTTGTGCATACAGAACAGTTGGTTGGGGTGTGCAAGGCACGGAGCATGGGCGAGGGTGGGAGGGCGTGCAGCATGCATGGGGGGCAAGGAGGGAGGGGGGGCCGCACCTCGCTGAACTTGCCATGGTTGGCTCGCAGCAGCTCTGCCTTGCGCATGCAGTACAGTCGGGGGGGGGTGTGCAAGCAAGGGATGCAGCATGGGGTGGCGAAGGTGCGAGGGAAGGAAGGGCCGCACCTCGCTGACCTTGTCGTGGTTGGCTCGCAGCAGCTCCGCCTTGCGCATGTATGGGGGAAGGCAGGAGCATGAATGGGGAAGGGCAAGGGGAAGCATAGAAGGGAGCATGCAGAGGAGGGAGGACGAGCACACACACCTCGCTGAACTTGTCATGGTTGGCTCGCAGCAGCTCCGCCTTGCGCATGCAGTACCCCATCGCCTCCTCCACTGACTTCTGCTGGCGCCCCGCCCGGCATGCATGCACCACATGCACCACATGCACCACATGCACCCCATGCACCCCATGCACCCCATGCACCCCATGCACCGCATGCACCCCATGCACATAACACACATGGGACACCGAGGAAGTGCAGGGTAGCACACCATGACACACATGACGACACGGGACCCCATGCACCCCACGCACAGTGTTCAGCAAGTCCAAAGGGAGCACAGGGGGGAATGCGGGATAGTGTTATAACGAGCGGAGCAGACATGCAGGGCGGAGGCCCAACAGGACCAAGCATGGGCTATTCAGCAGGGCTTAACATCACCTCGTTGCAATCACCTTGATTTGGTCAATAATCAGCTCAACATAGTCACCTCGATACATTCACCTTAAAATGCTCACCTCAATACAATCACCTCGATATAGTTACCTCCCTATAATCAGCTTGATGCAATCACCTCGAGACAGGTCACCTCGCTACAGTCACCTCGCTATACTCAACTCGATAGAGTCACCTCTCTATAATCACCTAGGTATAGTCACCTCGATATAGTAGCCCGCACCAACGTCAATGAGCACGTGGGAGGGCTCGGCCACGGTGCCAGCGATGTACATGGAGCCGGTTAAGGGCACCAGCATGCTCTGACCTGCCATGGTGGGGTGAGGAATGCGAGAGAGGGGAGGGGGAAATTGAGTCCACGGGGCGCCGACATCAATGAGCACGTTGGAGGGCTCTGCGACGGTGCCAGCGAGCCATGTACATGGCTCCGGTCAAGTGGACCAGCATGCTCGCACCTGGTGGGGTGGGGCGGGGTGAGGAATGCGAGAGAGGGGAGGGGGATATTGCGAGCGATGTACATGGAGCCGGTCAGGGGCACCAGCATGCTCTGACCTGCCATGGTGGGGCGAGGAGAGAGGGGGTGTGTAGATTCATAGGGCATGGAGTTCACTCCTCCCCCAACCCCACTATGTAGCCTCTCCCCCATCCTACCTCTCCCCCATCCTACCTCTCCCCCATCCTACCTCTCCCCCATCCTACCTCTCCCCCATCCTACCTCTCCCCCATCCTACCTCTCCCCCATCCTACCTCTCCCCCATCCTACCTCTCCCCCATCCTACCTCTCCCCCATCCTACCTCTCCCCCATCCTACCTCTCCCCCATCCTACCTCTCCCCCATCCTACCTCTCCCCCATCCTACCTCTCCCCCATCCTACCTCTCCCCCATCCTACCTCTCCCCCATCCTACCTCTCCCCCATCCTACCTCTCCCCCATCCTACCTCTCCCCCATCCTACCTCTCCCCCATCCTACCTCTCCCCCATCCTACCTCTCCCCCATCCTACCTCTCCCCCATCCTACCTCTCCCCCATCCTACCTCTCCCCCATCCTACCTCTCCCCCATCCTACCTCTCCCCCATCCTACCTCTCCCCCATCCTACCTCTCCCCCATCCTACCTCTCCCCCATCCTACCTCTCCCCCATCCTACCTCTCCCCCATCCTACCTCTCCCCCATCCTACCTCTCCCCCATCCTACCTCTCCCCCATCCTACCTCTCCCCCATCCTACCTCTCCCCCATCCTACCTCTCCCCCATCCTACCTCTCCCCCATCCTACCTCTCCCCCATCCTACCTCTCCCCCATCCTACCTCTCCCCCATCCTACCTCTCCCCCATCCTACCTCTCCCCCATCCTACCTCTCCCCCATCCTACCTCTCCCCCATCCTACCTTCCCCCCATCCTACCTCTCCCTCACCCCCCACTTCTCTCCCCTCCTACCGTCAGTGCCCCATCCCATCTACCCACTACCTCCTCCCCCCTCCCCCCCACCACACTCTTCCCCCCACCTCCCATTCCCCCTTTCCGCACCTTCCTGCTGTTTTGCCATGGCTTCCACTGCAACGCGCGAGGCATCAATGCGGGCAAGGGCGGTGCGCAGCGAGGCGAGGGAGTCGCCGAGCATCTTCACCTCGCCCTCCACCTGCTCGCGGATCTGCCGCACCTGCTCCACCGGCAGGCGCGGAATGTCCTTCACCGATATCTGTGAGCAGGGCGAGGAGTGGGGTGGGGTGGAACAGGGGCGGGGAACGCAGTGGGGCACGATGGCATGGCTTCACCTCGCCCTCCACCTGCTCTCGAATCTGCCGCACCTGCTCCACTGGCAGACGGGGGATGTCCTTTATCGATATCTGTTGGGCAGGGCAGGGCAGGGCACAACAGGGGCAAGGCGATGAGTGGGACATGGCATGGCATAACACATCACCTTGCCCTCCACCTGCTACCTGATCTGCCGCACCTGCTCCACTGGCAGGCGAGGAGTGTCTGTTACCGATATCTGCATGCGCCGTGGGAGGGAGTGGGGCGCAATGGGGGGAGGGGAGCGGGCAGTGGGGCGTGGCGTTGGCAGGGCATCACTGCTCTGCTCCACCAGCACGCGCGATGTCGTTCATCGGTACATGCGGTGGGAATGGGGTGCAGTGGGGAAGGGAATGGGGCGCAATGGGGGGAAGGGGGCGGGCAGTAGGGCATGGGACAACAGGGCATCAATGCTCTGCTCCACCGGCACGCGCGGGATGTCATTCAGCGGTACATGCGGTGGGGATGGGGTGCAACGGCAGGGCGGAGGGGCGTATCGGATCGATGGCGTGCGACGGCGATGCGCGCTCGGCGGAAATTGCGGGATGGCCTTCAGCGCCACGTGCGCGCACGGCGAGGCGTCGTGGGCCGACGCGGGGGGACGTCGGGCGCGGGATGCGATGGGACGGAACGGCAGGGTATGCGATCTTACGGGATAGAGCGCAAGGGATTGGCGCGAGTGGGGAAGAGCAGCAAGCACGGCTCACCTGCGTGGGGCCGAGCTGTTGCTGCTCCGCCATGGCCACCAAAGCTGCCGCCCTCCCAGCCGCTGTCGCGATCCGCCCCGCGCCCTCTGCCGCTCCTCGCGCGTCTCGCAGGAACCACGTGGCAGTCGCACCGCGAAAGAGGCAAGATCGGAGGGCCGACGGGCAAGGTGCGAGAATCGAGGGTGGAGGGTGAAGCGCGGGAGAGACGTTGGCTACTAACCGCTGGTTGCGGCGACTACACAGAGTTCGCTGGATGGCGCGGCGCGTTGAAACGAGTGAATCTGATCGCTCGATTCGAAGAAGCGACGCGGCGGGCACGGCAATGAAAGGGCACAGATGGATTTTGGCGAGAAGCTCACTGTCGGGATTTTTGGGTTGCGTAGCAACCTTATACATTTGGTTTCACTTTTTGGGGAACTGACCATGAACAGTGATTTTTCCCTGCCCGTTTGGGAAAAAAATACTGTTCAACTTTTTAGTTGCCCCAAAAATGTGAAACCAAATGTAACCAATAATTCCATAGTCGTCGATAAGTACGGCGAATGGAACAATTGGTTGGACACGAACGTGTACAAAAACAGACCCAAACGACAGCACACAAACTTGTACAAAAACGAGAAACACCAGTTGTGAGTGCTTCGAAGCTAATGCTAGAATGCATCGTGAATGCAACTGCGATTGATCTGGTATGGAAGAGGCAACCAAAGCTGCCCCACCAACGATCACAACCGCAATTGTATACACGAGGCACTTAGCACTCACCCCGAAACAGAGCCACACAACTACATAGCCTACATGTACGCACACACATACGCAGATAGAAAAACACGCAGAAACATACAGCTAATACTAAGCATGCAAGCATAGCCGATGAAGTTCACCAATTAATAAACCATCGCTACTTTGCCCCCCATTCCCCTCCCTCCCCCCCTCCCTGATCTCCCTTAACCCTCCCTACACCCCTCCGTCCCTCCTTCCTTCATCTCCCTCCCACTCCCTCCCTCATCTCCCTTCTCAGCTCACGCGCCCTGCACAAAGCGAAAACAGAGAAGTTCACACACACACGGCCTGTACACAGCAAAAAACAGAGAAGCAAACACACACGGCCTGCACACAGAAAAAACAGAGAAGCAAACACACACACGGCCTGCACACAGCAAAAACAGAGAAGCAAACACACACACGGCCTGCACACAGCAAAACAGAGAAGCAAACACACACACGGCCTGCACACAGCAAAACAGAGAAGCAAACACACACACGGCCCGCACACAGCAAAAACAGAGAAGCAAACACCTTAGAAGCCGACACACTAAACACTAGTGCAGAAAGCGACACTCGTTTGCATAAGTAGTCCCAGCTGCCCAAGCACCAGCAGAATAGATGCTAGTGCATATGCCCCAGCGTGCTCATAAAGCTCTCTCGTGCGTTCTCTCACGCACTCTCTCACGCACTCTCACGCACTCTCTCACGCGCTCTCTCACACTCTCTCACGCGCTCTCTCACCTGCTCTTTCAGGGCTCTCTCACGTGCTCTCACACGCTCTCACGCGCTCCCTCACGCGCTCTCTCACACTTTCTCTCACGCGCTCTCTCACGCCCTCTCTCACGTGCGCTCTCACGGACGCCTTCACGCGTCTCTCACGCGCTCTCTCACGCGCTCTCTCCTCGCTCTCTCACGCGCTCTCTCACGCGCACTCTCACGCGCTCTCTCATGTGCTCTCTCACGTGCGCTCTCGCGCGCGCTTTTACGCGCTCTCTCACGCGCTCTCTCACGCGCTCTCTCACGCGCTCTCTCACGCGCTACCTCACGTGCTCTCTCACGCGCTCTCTCACGCGCACTCTCATGCACTCTCTCACGCGTCTCACTCGCTCTCTCACGCGCTCTCTCTCACGCGCTCTCTCTCACGCGCTCTCTCTCATGGGCTCTCTCTCATGCGCTCTCTCTCACGCGCTCTCTCTCACGCGCTCTCTCTCACGCGCTCTCTCTCACGCGCTCTCTCTCTCTCTCTCATGCGCTCTCTCACGCGCTCTCCCACGCGCTCTCCCACGTGCTCCCTCACGTGCTTTCTCTCACGCACTCTCACTTGCACTCTCACGTGCACTCTCACGTGCACTCACTCGCACTCTCATTCGCTCCCTCACGCGCACTCTCATCCGCACTCTCACGCGCTCTCTCACGCGCACTCTCACGAGCTCTCTCACGCGCACTCTCACGAGCTCTCTTACGCGCACGAGCACTCTCACGCGCACGCGCTCTCTCACGCGCACGCGCTCTCTCACGCGCACGCGCTCCCTTACGCGCATGAGCTCTCTCACGCGCTCTATCACGCGCACTCTCAGGAGCACTCTCACGCGCACGCGCTCTCTCACGCGCTCCCTCACGTGCTCTCTCACGCGCTCCCTCACGTGCTCTCTCACGCGCTCTCTCTCACGCGCTCTCTCTCACGCGCTCTCTCTCATGCGCTCTCTGTCATGCGCTCTCTCTCACGCGCTCTCTCACGCGCTCTCTCTCACGCGCTCTCTCTCACGCGCTCTCTCTCATGCGCTCTCTCACGCGCTCTCCCACGCGCTCTCCCACGTGCTCCCTCACGTGCTCTCTCTCACGCACTCTCACTTGCACTCTCACGTGCACTCTCACGTGCACTCTCACTCGCACTCTCATTCGCTCCCTTACGCGCACTCTCATCTGCACTCTCACGCGCTCTCTCACGCGCACTCTCACGAGCTCTCTTACGCGCACGAGCACTCTCACGCGCACGCGCTCTCTCACACGCACGCGCTCCCTTACGCGCATGAGCTCTCTCACGCGCTCTATCACGCGCACTCTCAGGAGCACTCTCACTCGCACGCGCTCTCTCACGCGCTCCCTCACGTGCTCTCTCGTGCGCTCTCTCGTGCGCTCTCTCGTGCGCACTCTCACGCGCGCTTTCCTGCGTGTTCGCTCCCGTGTACATGCTCTCCCTCGCGCTCCGTCTCTCCCCTTCTTCAAATGAAATTGCAATGCGAGAGGAGACCAATCTACACAAAAACTTTACGAGGAGAGCAAAGGAGGGACACGCGACGGCGGGGAGGAGGGAAAGGCGACGGCGGGGAGGAGGGATACGCGACGGCGGGGAGGAGGGAGAGGCGACGGCGGGGAGGAGGGAGATGCGACGGCGAGGAGGAGGGAGAGGCGACGGCGAGGAGGAGGGAGAGACGACGGCGGGTAGGAAGGAGAGGCGACGGCGGGTGGGAGGCGACGGCGGGTGGAAGGGAGAGAGGACGGCGCGGTGGGAAAGAAAGGATGGCGGGGTGGAGGTAGAGGCTATCACGAGGTGGTTGGTTGGGAGAAGCAACAGGTGGGTGGGTTTGTCACGTGAAAACACACGCACAATCACGTGACACTGAGTGGGCTGAAAACAACTCACTATGAACCACAAAATAGTGCAATGTTACAATACAAAGTAAAGAGAACATCATTGTTCACTATATAAAACAAAAAACGATCAATGTGTCTAGATATTAACGTATTAGAAACATCAATTGTTAAGAATAATAAACATCCACGTTGAAAAGAATAGATTGAACCATCAAAAAACGCTTGCAATATTCCTTGAACGGTAGGCCTAAATTTGACGCTTTTAAAAAACTGCAAAAAAAAAATTGTCAACTAAGAATGTAACATCTACGCAACCCTTCCGACGTTAACGTCGAGTCTTGTTGTGTGCGTTCTTGATTTGCAGTGCAGTTTAAATTGAAGTGGCAGAACGGGTAGTTTTATGTTTGTAGGCGCTACAGAGTTGGAGATACTACACCCGCTCTGGCTAGTAACGCGTACGTCATCAGCTCCAATCTCGGCCCGTTTTATTCACGAGCCTGAGCCACGTCACGGTTCTGCCTTGGTTTGGGAATCCGAAGCTGCGAACCTGGTTTCTCCAGTACAGTGTTTTTTCCTCCAGGCTCCAGTTGTTCGAAAGCCGTTGGGCCTTCGTGCTCGAGACGCGTTCACGGAGCCTTGTGCGTCCCGCCCGCCGTGCCATCCTTCGCCGCGCTGCCTTGTCCGAAACGAAACGCGGCGCACGGCACGCTCTCGTCTCGCGTTACTAATTGATCCACTAAGGAACGTCGTTACTTTTAGTCTCCGGCTCTTGCCGTCCTCGTCGCTGCCGACCGTTCACTCGCGCGCCGCCACCAGCACCATGTGGCGGGTGGCGTGTCGCGAGGCGCGCAAGCAAGTCGCGTCGCTGACCCATGGGCCCGCGTGTCACGGCGCGCACGGCGCGCCCGCACCGGGCGGTCCTTATCCGCTGCATTCCCTCGCGCACGTCGCCCCGCCCACCGCCGTCACGCCGCATCACGCGCGCCTCATCCCGTCGCTCGTCGTCGCTCACGGCCCCGCATCCCTCGCCACCAACGCGACGCGCATCGGCGCATGGCGACACGCGTCGCCCCTCGCGCTCACGCTCACCTCCCCCTCGCTCTCCGCTCTCCGTTCCGCCCTCACGCACTCCTCCGCCAGCCTCTCTTCCGCCACCCTCTCCGCCGCCGCCGCTCTGCCCGCCGCAGCCCGCGCAAGCCTCGCCGTCCCCGCGGCAGGCGCGGCGGCAGGGCGGGCGGCAGGCGTGAGCGTGTGGAAGCACTGCGGGCGGTGCTACTACGAGCTCAGCAAGACGCGGCTCAGGTGGGTGGGGCGCGGCTCAGGTTGGCGCTACGCGGCTCAGGTGGGTGCGGCTCAGGTGGGCGCTACGCGGCTCAGGTGGGCGCTACGCGGCTCAGGTGGGTGCGGCTCAGGTGGGCGCTACGCGGCTCAGGTGGGTGGGCGCGCGCGCATAGGCGGGGAGCTGGCATGTCCCGTTGCTCTGAATGTGAAGATGGCGCCTTTTCCGTTGCTCTCTCGTGTGCCTCACCTCGTCTCGCGCGTAGCGTCCACCCACCACAAACAGCAGCTTCCGCTGCGCACAGCATTCCCTCTATTCCCTCCCCTCCTCCTGCCACAAACACCCGTGCCTCCCGCTCACATGCGCCCCCAACCCCCTGCACCATATCTCCCCTCTGCGCGCCTCACACCCCCCAGCCTGCTGGTGGTGGCGACGGCAGCAGCGGGGTTTGTGATGGGCAGTGGCGACAACGTTGACTGGGCGGGACTTGGATGGACCTCGCTTGGAACCTTCCTCGCAGCTGCCTCCGCCAATACGTGGAACCAGGTGTGGCTGCCCAGTGCCAACGCTGTCTGCTGGCCGTACTGCTTGCGGCACCCCTCACCTCGCACCCTCTCGTCTCTCGTTGCCCGTATGCATTGTGCATGGCTCGCCCTCTCCTTGCTGCTGCATCGCTGCACCGCGCTACTCTCGCCTCGTGCCTCTCTCCCCCCATTTCCCGGCAGGCCACAGCCGGCAGGGCGGACGATCAGCCCTTCGTTGCCCCCTTGTGCCCCTGTGTTACCCGATGCGCCCCCCCTGTGCGCCCCCCCTGCGCGCCCCCCCGGTTTCCCTCCCAGGTGTACGAGGTGGCGAATGACGCCCTCATGAAGCGCACGCGGGGAAGGCCGTTACCAGCAGGGCGGATGACCCGGCAGCACGCCATCGCATGGGGACTGCTCACTGGGGCCAGCGGCCTCGCCATCCTCGCAACCCAGGTGTGGTGTGCGGTGCAGTCAGGTGCTGTGTGCGGTGCAGTCAGGTGCTGTGTGCGGTGCAGTCAGGTGTTGTGTGCATGCAGTCAGGTAATGCAATGCAATAGCATCAACAGGTCGCCACATTGCTTCATCTCTCCATCAACTCACCTTCAGCGGCCCCTCGTCCCCGCGCCCCTCTCTCCCGTCCCTGCTCGTGTGCATCCGTGCATGCATGTGTACAGGCTAACAGCATGAAGGTTCAAATGGGAAGTGTATTGAGTCGATAAAAAACGCATTTTGTGTGTATGTGCGTGCACTGGTGCGTGCGCATGCGTGGGTGTGTGCATGCACAGGCCAACAGCATGACAGTGGGTCTGGAGGCAGTCAACATAGCACTGTATGGGGGGGTGTACACGCCACTCAAGCAACTGCACCCCGTCCCCTGCCCACCTCTCTCTCCCCCTTCCCCCCGTGCATGTGTGCATGCTTGCGTGCACAGACCAACAGCATGACGGCAGGCCTGGGAGCGGCCAACATACTTCTGTACGCGGGCACGCCACTCAAGCAGCTGCACATCGCCTTTCTGTTCTCTCTCCCGTCCCCTCCCTGCTCGTGTGCACGCATATGCAGACCAACAGCATGACGGCAGGCCTAGGAGCCGCCAACATACTGCTGTATGCAGGCGTGTACACGCCCCTCAAGCAGCTGCACATCGCCAACACGTGGGTGGGCGCTGTCGTCGGCGCCATCCCGCCTCTCATGGGGTGAGTGAGACACTTGGAGGCATGGCGATGATCGTGATGCCGTTAATGGTGGTGCTGTTGCTGGTGATAATCATGACAGTGATGTGATGGGGATGGCGGTTAGGAGGGTGATGGCAAAGTGAAGCAGGGTGGGGAAAAGGCAGGCTAGCACATGGGGGTTGGTCTAGGGTTGGGAATAGGCAGGCAGGCAGGCAGGCAGGCAGGCAGGCAGGCAGGCAGGCAGGTGACCTGCTCACCTCACATCTCTCATCCCTCTCTCATCTATTCTCACCCTTCCCTGCATGGCATCACCCCCCACCCCCCTCCTCCCTTCCCGCCTCGTTCCCCCTGTCCATCCCCACCTTTGTGCGCAGGTGGGCGGCGGCGAGTGGGGGGCTGGACTGGGGGGCGGGGGTGCTGGCAGGGGCGCTGTACCTGTGGCAGATGCCGCACTTCCTTGCTCTCGCCTGGCTCTGCCGCAAGGACTATGCTGCCGGGGGGTGAGTGAAAGACGAGGGGGGGGGTCGGGGGTATGTGTGGGGGTGAGGGGTGACGAGTTGACTCCACTCCATTGCAGAAGGGGGTGTGAGAGAGAGAGGAGAGGGTGAGGGTTGACCATGCTGCAGGGGGGTATGTGTGTGGGGGGGGCACTCAGCATTTGCGAGGCTGCTGCACAGCTGATTATTGCCCTGCTTTATGTCCTCTCCTCCGCTCTGTTCACTTTTGCTCGTCTTCTCATGATGCCTCGTGCCGTTCACTGTATCCCCTCGCCTCACCCCTACCCCTGTACTTCCCCCCTGCCTCCCCACTCCCCACCTTCGGCTCCCCCCCACACTGCTACCGCATGCTGTCTCTGGCGGACCCCACAGGGCGGCGCACAGCAGGATCAGCTCTGCGAGATGGAGTCTGAGTCAACTCAATAGTCACTTCTTCTTTTCCCCTCCCTTACACCCTCTCCCCCTTCCCCCCCCCACAGCTACCGCATGCTGTCTCTGGCGGACCCCACGGGGCGGCGCACAGCAGCAGCAGCGCTGCGCAACTGCTGCTACATGCTGCCGCTGGGACTCGCTGCTGTCTCCCGTGCGCCCTCCCCGCCCTCCCCGCCCTCCCTACTGTCTCTACCCCTCCACCCGTGGTCCCAATGCCTTGACCCTTTATCTTTTCCAATGGCTCCGCGCTTGCCTTCCCTCTCGTCTCATAACATCAGCCCATCCGTGTCTCTGCCCATGCCATCTCGGTCTTTGCACTCCCCACTCCCCCCACCTGTATGCACACTCCTTCTCTCACCTCCTTTCCCCAGCCATGCTCTCAATACCCCACGTGCTCAGCCCTCACCCTTCTCATCCCTCGCCCTTCTCATCCCTCACCCTTCTCATCCCTCGACCGTCTCACTCCAGACCTCCCTCCCTCCGCTCACCCCCACCTCGTTCCCCTCCTCTCCCAGTGGGGTGCACCACAGCACCGTTCCTATGGGAGAACGTGCTGCTAACGGGGGCGTTCACAGCAGCGGCAGCGCCCTTCTATCGCAGCCCCTCGTCAGCGTCAGCCAGGCAGCTGTTCCGCGCCAGCCTGCTCTTCCTGCCCGCCCTCATGGCCGCCATGCTGCTGCACCGCCTCCCCCACCACCCCCTCCCCGCCCATGCTCTCTCCCCCACCCCCGCGCCCGCACTCACCCATGCGCTTCTTCCCTCCCACGCTCCTGCAGTGATGGCAGGTGCAGGCGAGGGTGGGGTAGGGGGAGCAGCAGTGGGAGAGCATGGGGCGAGGGAGGAGGTGGGGCGGAAGGCATGGGGGGAGGCCGGGGCCAGGAGGGCATGGGAGGCAGCAGGGAGTGGCGAGAGGGGCGAGGGCAGGAGGAGGGCGAGTCTTCCTCCAGTGGCGTATTACTCGGCGGCTCCCTTTCCCTTCCTCCCCGTGCCCCACTATGCATGAACCTCGCCTTCTGCTCGTGGGGGGGAGGGGTGGTGATAGTCACGCCTGCATGCACGCGGCATGCAATGCGTACCTGAAGCATTGCTCCCCATGCACCTACAGCTTAACCTATGTCAGTGCCACCCTTGAAGTTGCTGCAGTGATGTGATGAACACATTGCAATGCAAGTTGCTTGACCGTCGTGATGTCCTTCGATCCACGATGTGGTGTAGAAAACTAGACCACCCTTGTACCGGTATCTTCAGGTTCAGGGCGTGTTCCTACTACTGCCCCTTACGGTATCAGACCAACCTCTTATCAGACTCGCGTAGCATCACACTGAAGTTTGCCTAAATACCAAACCCTTTGCCCATTGTATCAGGCAAGCGTCTTGTATACGATAGTAAGGTCCACCACAATCACCACCTCAAGGTGCTTACAGATACTTTGGTGCCAACCAAACCAAGTGACACTCACAACCTGGGCATCAAAAGTCAGGTTTTTTAACCAGAATTCCTAATGTTTTATGGTGTATTTTTGAAGTGACCCTGATCGTTCAACCTTTTATTTTTAACGACACTGAATTTTCAGTGTGTGTATGTGTGTGTGTTTTTTTTTTTAATTATTATTATTATTATTATATATTCCAACACTGTTTTTTTAGTGTTTTGCGATTTCGGACACTTAAAGCGAGCAGGCAAAATAGTGACCCTGAATTCGAGTTGGGTCCAACTAGAAGTTTGTTTTTTTTTTTCCGGTACAAGGCAAAGTCCCAACGACAAGAAAAGTGTCGCAACATGCACAAAATTGTCGCAAGCATGCATTGGCATTTCTGCTTCTCCAGCCCATCCAAATTTCCATCGAGCTTGTGAGTGATACCTTAGTGAGAAACTGCTAACTTCACGCCTAGCACCACACACGCAGCATACCCGGCGACGACGGGGAACGGAGACAACGAGGCAGCGAAAATGGAGAAGAGAACGAAGATAGCGAGTGCGACAGGAAGGGAGATAGCGGGGGCGACAGGGACAGGGAGAGGAAAGGAGATAGCGAGTGCGACGGGAATGGGAGAGGAGAAATTGAGGGCGACAGGAAGGGAGGAGATAGTGAAAGCGATCGGAAAGGGAGGAGCCACTAGCGCAGCGCACGCGCTGTTAGCGGAGCCACCAGCGCGTCGCACTTGCTGTCCACACACGTCTTATAGTACAGCTCACGCGCTGTCCTTGAACCAGCAATGTCATCGTACCTGAACCTATGTAAAGTTTCCTGACATCATGTAAGAAATTTAATTCGTTTATAAGAACCTCCAATAATTGAGACTATGAAAAGGCGAGTAGTGACGGGAAGGGGAGGGGGAATAGAGAGCTCGACGGGGAGGGGAGGGGAGATAGCTAGCGCGACAGGAGGGGGAGGGGAAATAGTGAGCGCGACGGGAAGGGGAGGCGAAATAGCGAGCACGACGGGATGGGGAGGGGAAATAGCGAGAGCGACGGAAAGGGGAGGGGAGATAGTGAAGGGGACGGGAAGGGGAGGGGAAATAGCGAGCGTGACGAGAAGGGCAGGGGAAATAGCGAGCACGACGGAAAGGGGAGGGGAAATAGCGAGAGCGTGACGCGGCGGGAAGGGGAAATAGCGAGCGCGACGGGAAGGGGAAGGGAGATAGCGAGCACGACGGGAAGGGGAGGGGAGATAGCGAGCGCGGCGGAGAGGGAGGGGAGATAGCGAGCGCGGCGGAGAGGGAGGGGAGATAGCAAGGGCGACGGGGAAGGAGAGGAGATAGCGAGCGCGACGGATAGAGGGGGGAGATAACGAGGGCAAAGGGCCAGCTGAGCGCGACAGCGAGGGCGACGAAAAGGGTGGAATGAGAACGTGGCGAAGGCTTGTTAGCGGAGGGCGGATGCACTTGTGAGAGTGGTGCCGGAGTATCCGTGTGAAGTAACTACGCAAGCTACCGTGATACTTGTGGATATCGGCTAATGTTGGAACGATCAGTCAGAGCGTAAAGTGAACCCAAGTCCAACTTGAAGTTCCGGTTGGACCCAACTAGATATGGGAGGCGTCGGCTTCAACCCAACCAGTTGGTGTCGCGTGATCAAATGTGGAAACTTTCAGAAGCACGAAACTTTGGCGCACTGATTTTCTGCTGTGCGATCTGAAAATCTGGCGGGAGCCAATCGGATTGGACAAGTAGTTTCGACCATCTTTTTGCAACAGTGCTTTGATTCCTCCCGATTTCAAGCTGGGCCTCCCTTCACTATTTTGCCTGCTCGCTTTAAGAGTCAGTGTTGTATCGCGTTCAACCCTGAAACTAGAAATTGCATTTCCGCCAAGCTTGGCAAGGCAGCGGGCGCTCTTCATATGCAAGCGCCGATGACCGATGATGCTCGCAACCCTCCCACGCCCTTGTTGGCTTGGTAATAGGCCCGGACAAGCGCAACCTCATGACCCGGCAGAAGAAAAATGCTCGGAATGCACGCTTCCACCCCCAAATCGCGGAAGGATCCCCACATGTGCCGGAAGT